ATAACTGAAGTCGGGAGTCAAGGGGATTGCCATAAGGGGATAGACACTGATTTAAGGTTCTGGGTTCGGGGATGGATACAGATGATATCCGGAGATCTGGATATGAAGGTATGGATCCGGATAACGGATAAGGCATCTGAATATCGGATGTACGAAGGTGCACGGATCTAGACCAATAGTGGACTGGAAGTCTGGGGGCATGGATAAGGGTATGGAGGTCCAGATGCATGTCCGCAAGGCGTGGGAATGTTATTGGATGTAGGTCCGGAACATGGGAGTATTGATATGTGGAAGTACGGGGGTGCATGGATGAGGATATGCGGATGTGTGCATGTGCAAGGGTGCAGGGATCCAGACAGATAGAGGATAAGAGGTCTGGAGGCTTGGACAGGGGGTATGGAGGTCCGGATGTGCGTCCGGAAGGCGCAGGAATATCATGGGATATAGGTCCATGGCACGGGATATGACACCTTTCCCGAATGAGGACATTATCAGAGCCATGACTGAATGTGGCCTTCTCAACACAGGATCCATGGAGCAGATTATTCAGTTTGCCCGGGACCATGATAAGGCGCTTAATGTCAAACGCACATCACTTGTCGTTATTTCTACTTCGCCCTTTCGGATGGAATACCTCGATGGTCCATCATCTCTTCCTTCATTCTGGTTTAAATTATCAGGTATTGATGAGGAGGAAAAGAATTTCAAGGGATCCAAGAAATGCAAGAGACCCTCAAGCAAAGTTGTTTGAAAGTTCTTCCTCTAGAAAACTACAGGTAGGCTCGTACTTTGCATATTCCTTATTTTTTCTAACTCGAACTTTTGCCTCTAGTGCTTATGATTTTTTCTATTATGCTATCACCTATCCCATTTTTCGACTCTACCATTTCAATTTTCGACATCTCGTGCCCAAATTCTCACATTTTTCACTTCTGTCTTCCTCCACTCTCCAAAAATCAGTCTTAACCCATAAAAAATGGACCCTCACCTCGATTCTGATCTTTATGTGTATTTATATCACCATCTCGCTCATGTCTCGATTTGAATGCCTGTTTCTGGTCTGTATTTTGTTGTTCAAGCTTCATACCTATATATATATCCCACAACGCAGGCTTCCGTCTCTGTTCAATTTGATATGAGTTACCTGTTCTGTAATTTGATTTTTTGGTTGTCCGTTAACTCATCCGAAATTTCTAAGTCTTGCAAGAATTTATTAAGCTTAAGTGTCTCTGACATTAAGGAAAGGGGCTTAAGCACCAGTCAATTAGTGTATCCACATGAAATTTTTGAAGATGAGTCCATAGCTGAATGCTATGATAGACTTGTAAATTCCCTCTATGATTTAAGCCCTGCTGATAGTACAAACTGTGAAAAGCCTTTCCCTTCAGCAGAGCTTGATTTTACTGAAGATTCTGATAGTGAATCAGACATTATACTTACAGGGGACTCAGGATGCAATTTTCCCGAGGATAACCCTATATTTACTACTATGATGACAGTAGGAGCGGCTAGAATGAACTTAGTAGCAGATACGGTTACACCGACATTCTCGAGTCGCTGGAGTATGCGGTTGATAACCTCACAATGCTCCCATATGAAGCGATGTATGCCCGTGTTTAGCGCTATGGTTTCATATGAGCCGTCAGCTCTTTGATACCGCATTTTAACTGATTTGACGGGCACATCATCAATAAATGGCGACATAAACTCTGGAATTTCATCCTGCAGAATGAACGCGGTATCACATTGGTATACTTGTACCGCATTAGTGTGACCTTGCAGAAATGTTGTCAACTGGTGCGGACCCAACAGCATTCCCAAGGAAGTGAGATAACTTCTCCAAGGGTTGCGGGCGGGATAGGGATATTTCGTTGAGACCAAGGAATGTGGGGGATGGTAGGGATTTTGTACGGCAGGAAATATGTTTCATTGAGACGGCCGCGCTCGGTCGCATCCCATGCAAATGCTAATTCATGAACCCAAACGAGCCAGTGTATAAGCTGCAACTCGTCGGGCCACAACCAATTAGCAGGGTCTAAGTCCAACTTGTCCACTCATTCTTGGGTGAAGTGGACGCCTGGAACAAAATCAGGCGGGTGGGTTGGCAGTGTAGGCATGCCGGCCAAAGGGTCGTCGGGTTACCATCGTGTTATTCTATATTCTGGGGGCATAGAAGTTTGTACCGTGTGGACTTTCTTAGCGACTGGCTTGTAAACCAGCGCACATCGGGTCTTGTCGAAGGAATATACACTGTTAAATGCGTCGACGGACGTGCGGTCAATAACTGAGCGGGTAGAGACGAGATGGGTATATTGTGCTGTGAATAGCACAGTGGAAAACAAGTCATGTTTGCTCCATAAGAGCATGTGATGCGTGGATGGCACAAGACGATAGTTAGAACCAGGAAGTAATGTATTAGGACGTGAAATAAGAGAGAGGGGTGGGTGTGTATGAGTCCATTTGTCTCCTCACGGTATAAGCGGATCATCGATCATCAAAAACCCTTCTTGCAATCGCTAGGAGGCAGGTGCAACCCTTTTTCGCATTCGGGACATCTCTTTACCCAGCGATTGGTAGGAAAGCGGATTACCTTCCCTGAGTTCGGGTCAGTCAGAGTGATGTCTTGTTCCCCGTTGGGCAAATCCTCTGTGCAACAGCTGGTGAGCGTGAAGAATGGGCGACCTAGCAAGATCTCGAAGTTAGCAGTTGGAACAACTTGGACCTGGAACAGCATTTCTCCCATGCCAATGTCTAGTGGAAGATTCTCTATGACACCAAGCATCTCGTCGGTAGAGGTATTGACTGATTCCATGACCAGCTTATGGTCGGATCTTAATGGAATGCCACCAAGCAACTGCCAAACAGATCGCGGCATTACTATGCACTCGGTGCCCTGGTCAAGGACACAGGAAAGGACCCGGCCATGACTCATAACCGCTCTGATACATCGCAGTGACTCGACATGTTCAGCAACAATGTGACTGTCGTCGCTCCTTTGCAAACAACCATTGTACTTCCTCAGGAAATTGTGTGTTTCAGGTTGGCTGCTCAGCTCATTCACTGATACCAACCCGACAGTAACACGCTTGGTGGTAGTCATTTCCTTGCAAACATCGGTGGATACTGCGATCAACTTCCGCATGGGTATGCTGATGCTGAAGTCTAGCATCCAGTTGATCACCTTCTTGTCAGCTTCCTTATCTTCTAGCGGGTGGGTATACCTAAACTGCGTAGAGGAGGGATTAGCGGTAGGTGGATCATAGGATGAAGAAGAGGTTGCGGGTGGCGATGATGAGGATGAAGTACTAGGTGCGGATGATGAGCTTGCTGGCGTCACCACTACAGTACCCTTGTTAGGTGCGCTGGCGGTCTTCGATCCAGATGCCTTAACCTGCGGAGATGCGACTTCCTCTACTACGTCAGTAGTCTTAGAAGATGGTCCTGGTTTTGGGCGTTGTGGAACATTAATGCCTTCAAACTGTATGTTCTTACCCTTGTCCTTGTGGTTAGTGCGATTCGCTTTACCGCTGCAAATGCATTGCAGGCTCAGGTCGCTTCTCTTTCTAGGCAGACTAATTCTTCATCGTTGGAATCGTCATCCTCTACACTGGCGCATGTGTGCATGAATGCGCAAGGCTCGATATCAAGAGTCGCTTGAGTAGTTGGCTCAGCGCGACAATACATCAACCCTAATGCTGTCAAGTTAGAACCTGTAATGGGTCCATCACGCAGGAATCTGTCTATGTGCTCCTTGAAATTCCCATCAGAGTCTTCCAGGGATGTTGCTACCATCAGGCATAACAATCCTCTTTTCCAGCGTGATGTGGATCTTGCCCTCACTGGCATATGGGTTGTGTAAGGCACAGCAGTTCATGTAGTGATCTCCTCCACAGAAATGACATACATTGTTGGAGAGAGGTCGCGTCTGGCTATACTCCCGCTTTACCACAGTTCCGGTGGCAGATTGCTGAGGTGCGGTTTGCTGGTTAGTTGTGGGTGCGACAGGAGGTGAAACAGCGACTGCCGTAGGCGCGATACTTCATAGCAAGAATATCACTGTGTCGTATACTTCTTCCAAGGTGTATGGGTTGTCAGGATGATGGTCGACTAGCTTGATCTCTAACCTTTGCTTGATGGCGGTATTGGTCGTGGAATGGATACCTTCTAAAAAGTAGTGACCAAGTTCGAGTTCCGCTATCCTACTATTGTCTAGGAGGTATTGTGAAATGTGAAGGAACTTGCGGTAGAACTGTCCGAGTTCTTCCTTCGAGCAGATCAGTTTGCGGACTTGTTCTCTGCAAAGGTTTTCCAAATCAGTGCGCGCATAGCGATGATTGCCTTCGCATCCTGGGTACATAGCCTTGATGGCTTTGACAAACTTATCCCAATCTTTACCTTTCGCAGTGGGTCTTGATGCCCATGTTTCAGATTCGTCTACAGGCATGTATTGGATCACAGCCTTGATGCGCTGCTCAGCAGTAAGTCCTGCATTGTCAGCTAGCAGTTCCACATCTTCAAAGAATGGTATGAGACGCGTTGGTGTGCCATTGAACTTTGGTGCAGCGTCGGTTCCTCTAAGAGGCATCTTGAATGATGTGGAAGACATGATGGCAGGTTGGACGGGTTGAGCGGGTTGAGCGGGTTGAGCGGGTTGAGTGGGTTGAGCGGGTTGTATGACTGGAGGAAGGGCGGTAGTAAATGGTGCTGTTGAGGAGGATGCGGTATGAATTGTGGGGTCAGGTATGGATGGAGGGAGAGTGCTTAGTCGCTTTGCGGAGACAGGATAGAGCTAGGTATGAAGGAGGCGGGTATGAAAAGGTTCTGCCTTTTAGGTGACTCATCGCGAGATAGAGTAGAGGGGGTAAGTGATGATGCGGTGGAGGGAGTGTCTACAGTAATGAATGGAACTCGAGGGAGTGGAAGGTAATGTGATGTTAATTGTCCAAGGGGTTCTTCTTCTTATTTGGGATCTGGTGAGTTGGGAGTGAGGTGGCGGATAACAGTAGCATCTGAAGATGAGCGGGATCACAAGTCGAATGCAGCGTGCTCAACTTCTTCATTGGTGGTTTCTATTACTGAGTAGAAAAAATCTTCTTGCAAAATGTCGCCAAGGTCACGAGGTTTTCGGGTCCCGGTAGGTCTAGGTGGTATGCCTTCCAGCTTCAAATGGCCCCCTTGCGGTGGGCTCCAGTTGTGAAAGAGAAATAGCGACTTGGCTGTTAGAAACTAGCGCTACTTATCCAAATAGGCACGAGTGTAGTGTTTGACCCAAGAGGACTGCTATTGAAGCAATTCCCTACTAATATGCAAGGAAAGCGATAGCGCGAAGGGATAAAAACCTATAGCAACCTAAGACCAAAAACTGATGAGTAGCGCTATAGTGATCAGCGACAAGTGAGTTCCGACAGAGAAACGTGCATATAAGTGAGATGCGCTATGCAAGTTGTTTTATGCGATAGCGCTATGCGACGTCCGACTAGCGACAGCGAGAAGAAATCAAAGGGAGCGAGAGTGAGAAGTAAGATAAGACAGTGCAAGTAAAATGCCTGAAAGCGACTAGATTGTAGCACAACTACCGATAGCGATCCTGACGTTGTGAAAGCCAAACTTAAGAGGGAACTTTAGCAACACACACTTTTAAGCAAGTCAAGCAACACACGATCAGAGAGATTGGCAAGAGTGGAATTGATTCCACCAAGACTAAGATATAGCGACTAAAGTGACTCTGACACCAGCAAAGGTCCTGGGAAGGGAAGTACTGTACTGTATGTGCGATGGGTCATTTTATCATACTGTGTAAGGGTTTGGAATTGCGTAGGCGAGTATAGTAGCGACACTGGCAAGGGCACGATGTAGCAACAGGTAATAAAACATGCAGCACTGCGGAACACGAGGATACATGTAGTAAGACCTGCGACTGATGAGTAGCGACATTTAAGGACAAATAACACACCAGCGGAGGTAGGTGGACATAGGCAGGACATGGGAGGACGGAATACCTAGGCATCAGACCGGGTAGCACACTATGGGAGAAAAGTGATTCCAAAGCAGATAGCTTGGGAGTTGATAGTGCTGGTGACTAGCGCTTTACTCTTTTCCTCTAGGCAAGGCAAAATATGCCTATGACACTCATATGCGCCCAGTGCTGGTATGATTGTCACACCGGGGAGCGTCGTATCCATGTTTGTCGGGGCAGGGCTCATAACCTCTCGAGGTTATGACATGAGGTAGTAGGTGAGTTATTAAGTGAGGTAATATTTCCAGTCTCTTGTTCACTAATTCATTCTGCTCTCACAGACTCATCTATATACTATGTGCCGCTAATACTAAGTAGCCGAGTCCATATGTACTAATGTACGCTTATTAAGAAGTCCGTGTACCATATTACTAATGTTTGGCTCTTGTTTGATTACTAACTACAGTGACTGCACTCGGACTTGTACATGTCCGGCACATCACAACAGTTCCCACTTCCTCTCCCACCAAGTGGGCTGCCCATTGGATATGGTTGGGAAGAACGCGATATGTCAGTATTATCGACGACTACTGCATTCAACACCAGGATGGATATTAGGTGGGACATGTTCCTTGGTCAGCTTTGCTCTGTCGTCTGTGGGCAGGCCAGTGGTGCGGTGCTCCAGCATTGTCACATTTCAAGGGATTCAGAGCCACAACTTGTAATTTTACAAACCATTTGAGCCGCCCTGAGGCAGACGTGAGACCTAGTGGTTCAGCCTGAAGGCCCATAATTGGATCCTTTTGCAGGCCAAAAGTCTTCCTCGGCATGAACTGCATGATGGCCTGCTCATGTGTAGCAACCATAACCTCTTTTTCAATGCTTATGATTTCTTCATATGTTTCTTCCCCGATGTGAGATTGATTTTGTCTTGCATTACTATTGGGCCAAGTATTGACAGCACTTGGGGAACAAATTTGCCAGTTTGTATTTGTCATTGAACTACTCCGGTGATCCTGCTATTCAGCAATCCCACAGCAAAGCTATTGCCCTTGACATCAGGGATCAGCACGCGCCCTTCCCTTCCCTTCCCTGTTCATCATTCATGAGATGTCATGCCATCATGGAGGGCATGCCAGATGGAGGGCATGAGCTGGAGTGGCATGGCAGAGGAGAACATGTCTCTTCTATTGGCGTACAAGATTGTCAACCTTGAGGGGTGGAGCTCAGCTCAGGTTCTGTTTGGGCACCCATGAAGGTAGCTGTTACCGGCGAGTGTATTTCCATTCTGTGTAGCTCCTATTGACCCTAGGAATGTGGGTGTGGTTTCTTTTGTAGTTTCTTTCCCAGCCTGGCTTCAGTGTGCGACCCCAACAAGTGTTCTGGTTCCAACAAACCTGTCACTGCACTATTGGAAAATCCCTTCTCTGTCGACCCAACATATAGTGGTGTATTGCGTGACTGATGGAGTAATGATCCTAGTAATAACACCACCACAAGTCTGTTTCCAAAACAGCATCTAAATCAGAGTGCAATCCACCTCCACCCTTTTCTTCAGTCAGAGCACTTTGGACACTATGACTCTTCTATGTCCACTATAAATAGGTAATCCTCAATCCAATCGAGACTGGGCATGAATGTGTGGGCAGTCATCTATTCACCAGACTGTGATCTGGATCAGCACATTTCCAATGTCTTGGCCCTTGCAATATCACCAGATGGCTACATCCTCGCAAGTGCATCATGTGACCATACAGCACGATTGTGGAACCTCGACAATGGACAACCCATCAATTCACCCCTCTGGCATGCAGAATCAGTTGACTCCATATCGTTTCGGAAGATGGAAAGCTACTAGCCACTGGTTGCTTCGACAGAAATGCCTACACATGGGATGTTGCTGCGATTGTCGAAAAAGCTGGTCACAACAACCTTCTTTTGGATTCAAAGGTGAGTACTCATATATCATTTCATATCATTAAAGAACTGAACATTCTCTGCCAGGCCAACAGGTCAGCACTCCATGTACGTGACACCTTCATTAGAGATCTTGCTGTGCTCAATGTATTTACTCTAGGCTGCTGCTACACGAACTCCGGTCTCAGACGGATCGACTTTTGCATACGTCAATCCATTCAGAGGATACTGTGAGTGGATTTGTTCTTGCATATCAGGATTCCTGAAGCATTTCATATGATATCACCTTCTTTGTTCTCCCATTCAAGCTACTGATACAATGTTCACAGGGATAGATAATCCTAATGATCCGTTCAACGATGGTGCATGGCCTAACTCATGGACGCTATCACTGAATAAAAGTTAGGTCTGAGGCACAAATAAAGTTAATGGGTAAGGCTAACCGGCATTGTGTGGCCTTCTATGAGAGTCTAACATTTATGAGTTTCTAGTGTAAATATTTGTTCTTGAGCCGTTTATTTCACCTGCTCTATTCAAGAGACATCCGGAAGCCATTGATGAATGGTCACTAAGCACACCAATGGCTGCAGACACCCCCTATGGTGGATTGAACCAGATTGAGGAGCATTGCAAGTCGTTCATCGTGAGTTCATCACTATTTTGTATGAGATGTTAATCAAATCAATTAGTGCAGACCGAGCAGGACATTGCAGAAATTGTCGGCACTGGGTTGAATTGGATATGTTTTCCCATACCCATGAGGATCTTGAAGTGATCCCTCCAGGCTTAAATGATCATAAAGGCGTTAGGCATAGAGACAAAGCCAGGAATTCAATCAGCGAAACAGAAAGTTCAGCTCCGGTGTTATAAGTTGAATTTGCAGTTCAAGCCAAACAAGTCCATTGTAAGTCTTCAATAATTTGTTTGCTGTCACATACTGAACTGTCCTTGCAGGACATAGATCTTTTGAACCAAAATTACTCTCTTATTCATGCTGGCAAGCTGCCACAACAACCCGACACCGACTTTGAATGGAATGGATGGACTGAGCTTTTCGTCTTGCTGTTCGACAGCTACTGTAAGTGTCCCAACCTTTATTTACAGGACTTTTGGGAAGAAGTGTTATTTGTTGGTGTAGATGAGGAGAGCAAGGGATACTGGGTATTTTGGCCGGGAAAACGAAGGGTATCTATTGAAAGAAATGTTAGCTTCTTCCCTATCACCATAAACACTCAGGACGATGTAGTGGATGAGGAGGAGTCCAGGGAAACAGCTCCAAAGAGCAATACCCAGAGTAACATCCAGCACGTCCTACCACCCCCAGTACCGACTCCGCAAACACCACCCCAAATCCCCAAAATGCCACCTCAGAGTACACGAGCCTTGCCACCACCGGAAACACCAAAGGCAACAAGAATACGCCACCTGGACGGCTACTACAAAGCTTTGAATGACGGAAAGGTAGTGGCATCAGCAATGGAGGACGAACCAAAAGACAGTCAATCAAATTCTTACACACATTATGCCATAGCCACAGCAGAACGAGAACCAAGGCTAAAGGAAGCGTTAAATGGTCCAGATGCCGAAGAATGGCAAAACGCAATAGACTATGAGATAGGTCAATTGGAGAAACTAGGCACCTGGGAGAAAGTGGACCCACCATGAGGAGCAAACATCATCCCATGCCATTTCGTACTGGCAACCAAATGAGGACTGGATGGAGAAAATATCAAGTTAAGAGCACACCTAGTAGCAAATGGTCAGCACCAAGAGCACGGACTTGACTATACCGAAACATTTGCACCCACCTCAAATATGTCGGCAATAAGAGTCGTCCTAACAATGGCAGTGCATCAAGACTGAGAAATCCATCAAGTTAACATCAAAAGCGCTTACCTCAATGCCACGCTTAGAGATGATATATACATGAGACCCCCACCTGGGTATCTCAAGCCAGGAGAGGAAGGAAAGATCTTGAAGTTATTGCGCAGCCTCTATGGGCTAAAGCAAGCCGGATTTGAATGGTCCGAAGAACTGGAAAGGTTCTTCATGGATGCGGGATTTAACCGCTCGAAGGTAGACAGGGCCGTTTACTTTCGACGCGCAGAGGACAAACATACAGTCATAACTGTATCAGTCGATGATATGGCCGTAACGTCAAAATACCTGAAACATATAATCAGCTTCAAGGAAGAACTGAGAAAACGATTCAAAATAACAGACTCAGGAGAGCTCACCTGGTTGCTAGGACTCAAGGTAGAGAGAAACAAAAAGGAGAAAACAATAACACTGTCCCAAGAAGCATACATCAAGACGGTTACAGAACGGTTCCATCTCAAAGAAGCCAAACCAGTCCAGACGCCAGTGGAAACAGGTACAAGCCTAGGAGAAGATCATCCGACAGGCACCCAATCTAAAATATCCGAAAATGTACCATACCAGAGAGCAGTTGGCTCCCTAATGTATGCAGCAACGAGCACGCGGTAGGGAATGTACACTGGGAGGCAGCTAAACGCGCCATTCATTATCTAAAAGGAACAAAAGAAATGAAACTCACCTTGGGCAAGATGGACAAGAACCTCGAAGCATTTGTGGACGCGGATTGGGCAAGCCAACCCCACAGACACTCAGTGTCTGGGTATGTGGTCATGCTGCACGGTTCACCTGTAGCATGGAGCACTAGGAAACAAACATTAATCGCCCTATCAACGGCAGAAGCAGAATACATAGCACTCACCTCAGTAGCGCGAGAGATACTATATCTCAAATCGCTTATCAGCGAGTTGTATAAACCGCTAGAAGGACCTATCCCCACCTACTGTGATAACCAGGGAGCTATCATGTTAGCATCCAATAACAAGTTTCATGCAAGCACCAAACATATAGACCTCTGATACCACTATATCCACGAACTCATCCAAAACGGCATCCTACAACTCCAGTATTGTCCCACGGCCATCTTCACAAAGGTGCTACCTGGACCAACCTTGCAGAAATTGAGAGCTGGATTGAGTTTAGAGTAACGGTGCTCGAGGGGGAGTGTTGTGACGTGCCAGACATGTACAAGTCCGAGTGCAGTCACTGTAGTTAGTAAGCAAACAAGAGCCAAACATTAGTAATACAGTGGAACGGGGTGACCCAAGACAGACAGACAGACAGACAGACAGACAGACAGAACTGCTATGATGGTGATGGATGAGCTCTCTACATGTGTGTGGCATGCTACCTAAGGCCTCCAGAAGGCTCCAAAACCTCTAAGACCCCTGCCACCACCGTCCCTGCAGACCCAGACCTCGCACTGACTCTGTCCCCACTAACACAACGGTACACGGACTCATTAATAAGTAGTGCTGCCATGGTCCAGTTCAGTCTGGTTCAGTGAGGGGTGAGCAAGAACCACAAACCGAACCTGCGTCCGGTCCAGGGCATATTGTTGAACACAGAACCGGACCAACAAGAACAGTTCAGAATGGTCGCGTCCGGTTCTCTCAAGGTTCGAACGTGAACCAGACCAAAACATAGATCATATTTGCGAAAATAAGATGTACAGTGAAATTCTATACATCTGGAAGGAGCTCTGACAGTTTAGCCAATGCAGCTGACTCCGCTGAAACATGACCATACTTGTATGCTGCCTTCAGGAGTTGTAGCGCAGAAAAGGTGGATGGCGCCAGTGAATTACGACGGATGGTAGATGTGATGCCCCCGCTAGAGAATGCTTGCTCAGATGGAACTGCCCTCCCCGGAATGGCAAGATAATCGTGCACAATCTGAGCAAGTGTCGGATACTGCAATGAAAGAACCTAAGTGGCTCTCGCTGCAAGTTCAAAGGGGTGTGGAGACCGCTAGTGCGATGCTGAAATGCTGTAGAACTAGTTAGCGTTAACGAATGTTATGCAATAATGATCGAGACGAGTGCGAGACGATAAACGATGGATATAGCGATGCGATTTAGATAACGAGTGCGAGACTGAGACTGGGAGACTGGTATGATTGCCTGTGGTAGTGAGTGTACATGGGCTACTTTTATACTTCGAAATACTAAGGGTTGGGTATAGCTATGCTGAATCGATTATGTGACAACGAGCGCTGAAGGGAGTGGTGTCGCTCCTGACAGGGTAGAGTAGACAGAAAGGAAAGAGAGTACAAAAGGACTGAGCGAGTACGAATATAAACGGGTATGGTATTAACGAAATGACGAGAGTTGCATAGTGGTTTTGACAGATTCGGAAGCGGTGAACTGAGAGTGAGGTGAGAGTGACAAGAATGGAGAGCTGAGGGTCGATAATCATGAGGCGCTGATGGAGAGTTGAGGTCCGTGCTGACTGAGGCTGGCAATGCACTGATGGTGGTTAAGGTAAGCATTGAAACAGCTATTTCCGGCATCAAACGATTGGTAATCCTTACACATTGTAGAATGGAAATATCACCGACTCACATGAGGTTCGGAACCGTTCAGAACCATTCAGAACTGATGGAGAACCATCCCAGGCAACACAGACCGAGAACCATACTTTGGTTCGGTCAGGTTCAATGGTGTCGCAGTGGACCGGACTTTCTAGAACCAGACCGTTGGTCAGGTTTGAACCACGGTTCTGGACCGGACCACAGCAGCACTATTAATAAGCATACATTAGTACATACAGACTCGGCTACTTAGTATTAGCGGCACATAGTATATAGATGAGTCTGCGAGAGCAGAACAAATTAGTGAACAGGAGACTGGAAATATTACCTCGCTTAATATCTCACCTACTACCCTCGCGTCATAACCTCAAGAGGAACGTAGACAGTGACAAAACTAAGTAAAAGCGGTGTAAACCGCACTCAGCCGCTATCCAAAGGAAGGATGAGCGAACAACTGAGGGAAAAATACATGACAAGGGTCCATTATATGATAGGAACAAGCTCGCTAAGGTACCATGAGGCTCACTTAAGAAATCCCTAACCTCTCCACTATTACGTGTACACCCGAGCACCTCCGGCGCGCACTCAAGCACGTGCACGCCAAGTGCGCGCACAGCAATGTGAAAGTGCGCTTAAGCGCGATGAGGTGCGTTGAAGTGCATTGAAGCGCGATGGAGTGCGTTGAGAAGCGCGAAGCATGATGAAGTGCGTATGTACACAATGAAGGCACAGAGTGCGCTTTCCAGGGCGAACTCATCTGGTTTTGTCAGACAGGGGCGCTATAGTGGTTGACACGGTGAAGTGAAAGGGCAAGCTCTAAGACTCTTGTGGAACGCTGACATAAGCGCGTGCCCCTATTGCGGCACAGCCGCATCACAGGGTGACAACAAATCATGCCCTTATACACAATTTTCTGGCAGTCTTAAAACAGCGCGATGACCAGTTATTCAGGCTTCCGTCCTCAGCACATACACTCCAGAACAACTAAATTGTGCTCGCAACCATGGTGATTGGACGAGCATTCCACCAAGCAAGAGACCAACGACTATGTAAAACATGAAGCTCGTCGTGCATATTCAGATGCTTAAAAACCGCGTAGAGACCGTACCAAATGTCTTCGAATTGTAAATACATGACCGCAAGATCAATTACAAATTCTGTGCCGCATCAATGTTACCTTTTCACTTCAGAATAGCGACATCGCCAGCCCCATAAGCTTCTGCATCTCCCCTGGCTCCATGTTTACTTTACCCGTCGACTTGTACTCTCCCATCGAGCGCATCGCAGTCGCCGAAGCTGATTGCATAGCTATGGGTAGCACGTCATTAGCGCAAGTGATGATATATCAGGTGGAAAAAACTCACCTTGCGACTTTCCTTGACTGCCTCTTGTCGAAAAGCTTGCCTGCCTGGGTCATCGTCAGGGCAATCTGCAGGATTGAGCATATCGACTACGAAGATGGCGAAGCTGATGGATGCTGCGCACCAGAAGAAAGGCCGGCAGATGGTCTCGCATGTGGAGCGTCCGCGTCGGGATGGAATCCACCCTGTGGTCTACCTCCTTTCTGCGGCCTGTCGCCCGACTGGTTATTTGCAGCTGCGATCTTCCGCGCCTCGACAGCGGCAGCTGCGCCTGTAGCATCATTCGCCATCGGCTTGTCATCATGGCCGGAACTACAATATATGACATTCAATTTAGCTCAACTCGATAGGGCATTCATTAGGAAGAACCTACCCATAAGCGTGAGCGTGAGCAGAGAAATTAGACTTGTAATTCTCTTCGTCGAGCCCGCCCGAGGGCTTTGACTTGGTAGCGAGGTGGGTTAGGGGAATCGCCATAAGCGGCTGCGTTATCTGGGGTGTGCGAGTATGACTGTGCTGATTGACCTACTTCGCCATTAATTAAAGGGAGGCGATACTTGACAGTCTAATCATACCTGGCGAAGGCCCATTGTAATAATCACTCGCAGCACCTCGGCCCGATCCTCCTTGAGGAGGCGGCCCAGGAGGTGGAGCATAACCACCCGCTGGTGCATGACTGGATGGTGCCCCAGGAGCACCAGCAGGGGATACGTACACATTGCTTCCACGACGTGGCTCCAGCGATTTTGGGACAGTCAGCCTCTCCCATCCAAAGTCCTCAGCGGGGCCGGTGAAGCAGGCATTGAGCATGTAAACGCATACAGCGCCAAGCGCCAACGTATCATCCAGAGAACGTGCCCTGACATCAGGCAACGAACGCGACACTCCAATGACCGAGTCGATGTCACGAGTGATAGTGCTTTCGGGTCGAGGAGGGATGGGAGCTATGCCTTGCTAACGAGCGGAGACAGAAGTACAAAAAGTGGAACGTACTCGTAGTCTCAAGATGACTCTTGTGTACATCTTCAAGGCTCTTCGGATCTGCGACGCCCACCTCTTTTCCGAACTCCTTCAAGTGTCTACTGAGCTGTGTGGTGCTTAGGCACTTTGGGATGTCTTCTGGGTATTCATCATCTGCGTCTGCGTCTTCTGAAGCAGACGCTTTCAGCCATTCGATGGGAATTTGTGGACGCGCAAGAAGAAAAGCAAGCTGCTTCTTCATTACCCTGAGCAAATATCAATGTGCATCTGACGCGACTTACGGGTTCTCAGAGGCATTGACGCCTTGTCGGATGAGTGCAGCGTCATTAAGGCGGATCGCGACACTGAGAGCTTCGGGGAATTTCGAGAATCGAAGGTAGATCTTGTGTATCGTGCGCAAGAAAGTGACATCCTCGGGAGGAGGGACCGGAGCGGGCTTTGATTTAGGCGCGCCTGAATCAGCCTCTGATACTGGTAGGGGGACTGCTTCTTCACCCTCTTGACGGATGGTATACTCCCCTCCTAGTTCAACAGTAATATGACGGGCGCATTCGTGCCCCCAAGAACCTGGTTCAGAGATTTTGGATGTAGGAGGGAGGAGAGATGCAGAAAGAATACGGTAGCGGAGGGTTCCTCGTGATTCAGTATCGGAGTATGTCATAGCGAGAACAGAGAGAATATGGGCGAATAGACTCTGCATGATGATAAGCCAGAGTCCTACAGAAAGGCTTTCCTCGCACCTTGTTTTCGGATGCGGGCCATGTCTCGAATAGTTCCTGGAGGCCAGAATAATGTGGGCCTAGAAACTTGAGTGGTTTTGGAACGGAAGTCATGGACGACGTAGATGTTCTTATGAGTGTGTGGAGCGTTTCAAGAGCAGGACGGTACAGATGTGTGTTTAATTCCTGCTGCTAATTTAATTATTGGTCGCGGCTGCACATCGTCCGGGTTTGACCGGTGGTACGTGAATTCCCTGGTGTGTCTGAAGTGATAATATCTACAGAATGGTCATTACAGGCGGGACATCTTCCAATGGACGTCCTCACCATAACGTAGCCATGTTCATGGTGTGCAGCGTCGTCTCCCGTGTAAAAAAACTCCAGCGTATGGCTTCATGTACGTCTCCAGGTAACGGCTGTGGTCGTTGTATGCAGAACGGGAAATTTAAGGCCAAGGTTGCTTAATGACGAGAGCTCCCTCGACATTGCTTCCTTCTAATTCCTGCGAACTTTGTCAATATCATAATTGAACGACATGCATTAATTTGAGTACCTTTCCACTAACAGGGTCCAGAATAGCAGGCTCAATACCGAAGAAGGGAACAGTTGCAGCACCAGGCCTAGTCTCAATCGCACCAGAGTCCGAGTGGGGTGACGACGATCGATCCAGTCTCAGTTTCCCTTGAAGACGATATTGAGCAAGGTCGTGGATACTTCGTGAATGCACTTACCAGAACATGTCAACGATAGCGCACTGCTTCTTGCCAACATGTTCGTTATACCTGTTCCAGGCTTCGGCCCACCGACGGAGCCAAGGACACGTAAACTGCCGGGATCATGGTTCTCCACGTGCTGAGCGCTTGTGGCACCATTGAATGATGATTGGCGATCATGAATGGTCGACATATATGTAATTTTTCGACGGAGACGAAGAGACGATCCGAATCTCGCTAAAGTGCCAGAGACACCAAGTAGTGCTTGGAGCCTCAGATCTGATGATGAGCACGACTTACCTTTGACCTTTGACAACATTGTAGTGTCTTGCATGACGAAGGCTTCGTTGCTTGATCATGAAGGTCACCTATGTACTAGTGGCAAATATAGTACCACATGTGCAGCTGATCGCAGATGTGCGCGCGCGCCGTGACTCTTCCGACAATTCAGCGGCTGAGAAGCGAGTTGGAATTTTTGGGGTCGCATTGACGTGAATGACAGCACGCGCAGGGGCTTGACAAACCGAATTTTCCTGCCGTGAAAACATCGCGAAATGAATATTGTATACGTATATGTTTAGACACAGAATGGCAAGGAGCTTATATAATTACATAAAAAAATATTCTTCCACGCAATGCAGCCGTCTGGGAAGCCCACATTCGCAAATGAGTCCGCTGACTTCAAGAACGTTTTGTACACAACACCGAATGGAAGTGGCGATACTGAAAGCCCCCCAATTGCAATGCAAGTAAGTTAAGTTAGTTAGTTAGTTATGTGTAAACTGTCGGGATGACGGGGATCGATGAACGATGGTTGAATATTGAATATAATTGTCAGACTGTTAACGTTCAAACTAACTAACTAACCCATTGGAGTTGGTGAAATCGACATCGGGCGGGAGCTTTGTTTTGTGTAGCCAAGTTAATTTGGTAGAGTGCTTACTAAGCGAGTGACATAAGCTGTCAGGGTTCAGGCCTCAGGGTTTATGGGCGTGACTATAGGCGCTCGCTCGCTCAGTTTGAGGTTTCGTTCGTTCTATCACAAATTTTTGTCTAAGTTAAGTTACGATCTGTTCGTCAGCTTCAGCAGACACGAAGCGACTGGTAAGCGCTCTCACTTGTCGCTCGGAAAGGCTCTAATATGCTAACGTAACAATAGGGCCTACTATCAGATCAATAATACTTGGCGCGCTTAAACGATGCGACGAAGTACAAATTTGGCACCGGACCTACTAGCACTCGGCGACATGTATGTATTCATTCAGATCTCGCTTCAAGTACTGAATGCAACCTTCCAAGACGACGGCGATGTACCAGGCCTTTTCTAACCTCAATTCAGTTTGCATTTAATCTCCGTGCACACGAGGGGGGGACTACATGATAAGCTAAGTACGTCAAACCCGGACGATGTGCAGCCGCGACTAACTTAAAACCCAGAGCACAGAGCCACAATGAGAGTTGTCTTCATTGCGCCCCCTCCCCTTCTCTCGATCTCTACATCTGTAGCTGCTGCACGTTCTTTGCCCCATTTATCAAACAATCACTGTCATTACAACGAGTCTCGGAATGGAATACCCAGACGAGCTCGATGACCCTGTTCAACTCACCATGGAAGACTTCGTTGGTCAATCACAGGACATGTTCACTCGTGCGCATGACGGCCTTCAGTCGGAAGTTGATTTTATTCGTTTCGCGTTGGCAGGTAGGGTTGGGCCGGAGGCAGACGAGGAGGTCGACCGGTGCCAGATCCGCCTGAATGCCCAGCAAGGCATCGCTCCCATTCCTCCTCGACCCGAAAGCACTATCACTCGTGACATCGACTCGGTCATTGGAGTGTCGCGTTCGTTGCCTTATACAACAGCCTTATCAATTTGGCCTGTCCCCCCTTTCAGGGAGACACTAACCAAGGACAATCACGTCAAGAGTCGCGCATACAATGCCGAGGTAAGACATGTTTGAACTCCAGTGGTGATAGTTACTATGGATACTGACCATATTAAATCAGGGTGCTCAGATTCAAGTCCCCATGCACAGAATTCCGAACGTCCCTTTGGGCAAAGTCGAACAAAGACACGTTGTCAGGATTTTTTTCCCTAGACTTTACGCCGCAGCGTCTGAAGACCCCTCCTGGGTCGGATTATCTCAAGAAGACTTCGCTCTGATATATGACAAATGTCTTCGTCCATTAATGTTGGAACACCTACCTGACTCTAGAGACCGGTGGCCGACATCTTATAATATCGCGTTAACTCATTCTCGGACCCTTACCGGCTCTATCGCACTCAACTCTGTTGACGTGCCTTGGCGCGTTTTGCACCATATTGCAGTCCCCTTGTTGACAAGACTCGGTGAGGAGAAACCTGCGTTCAAGGATGCGTATTATGTTCACGAGCTGAGGGGTAAGAAGAATGCCGCTATGCACGATGGGGACGATGCGGTTGCGAGACGTTTGGCTCTCGACGACGTATTCGAGCATGTTGATGATGAAGACCTGGATCCTCGACAGTGGCATGTGGATGTTGCGCTGACTATTGGTCTACCTGGGCACGTCGTCACCTGGCGCGAGTCTTCTCACCGAGAAGTGCTTAATTACCTCATGCCTGGCGCGGGCCCTGGCCGCATAGATCGCTTGACGAATAACAAAGCAGCGTTCCACTTTGATCGCCATCTACAGATCAAAGAGTTTGCCGGCTTTCGCGCAACTACCTCTGGTGTCACGGGCGCAGATGGTATTTCGTATGTGCAGGCATATTGCACAGAGAAAAACGTGACGTATTCGTTGAACCCTGGAGTGTTCCGGCGGCGTCGAGCCAAGGAGCTTCTCGAGAAGAAGACGCAGGAGAAGATTATATCGGACTTGGATGTTATCAGCGATGTTTTTTTTGAGTGCACTGGCGACGGGCCGGTCGCCGGCCGCGATGGCTGCGCCCGCCTCGAGATTCGGGTTCCGCTAGATAAAGCCTTGAACTGGCTTCCTACTCTCCCAGAGGACCTCGTCCGACGTTGGGTTATCGCGGTCGATAGAAGAGTGTGGTGGTAAGTGGGCATTTGCATGTCATTTGGTTCCATCCCTGAGCCAATATGTCTTCCCAGGTATTTTGTATATTATCGTCTCGCTGCCATTCGTCTGGTTCTCGTGAATTTGTCCAAAGCGGATGTCAGGGCACGTTCTATGGACGCTACATTGGCACTCGGTGCTGTATGCATCTATATGCTCAACGCCTGCTTCACCCGTCCTGCTGAGGGATTTGGATGGGAGAAGTTGATCGAGACCGCCTGCCAACAGGTACTCGAAGATCCCGGCGACGAGGATGAAGACGCCTCAACTATGCCCATTCTATATGACAGCGGCACGTACTTCATCTGTGACATCGTCCTCAATCCGCACTTGACCCGGGCATTCCTTCGACTGCCTCTACAGCGCACATTTGACTCGAAGTCCATGACTCGGATCTATCAGGCGCAGTCCATGTCCGAGATCAAATCCTCCTTCACTTGGATCATAGTTCCACACGGTAAATCTCTCCCTAACGCGGAACGAACGAACAATCGTAAGCGTAAGACCCGTGATGTCGATGACATCAGAGAGCCAGATCGACAGCGCCTGCGCCTTGGCACTCAGATTGTTGGCGTCCGTTTCAAACCTCCCGTTCGTTTGGCAGGCAGGGACGTGGACATCCATCTTGCAAACGGAGGCGACGAAGAAGACCTTCATGGGGAAGAGCACGAGGAGGAAAGCGAACATACGATCAATGAAGATGCCGCAAGGATTTACGAGCAACTCATCGTAGATATCATCGAGGAAGCGCCTAACCACAAAGGCAAGCATAACGGATCATACCTATCCATTCCTGTCCAAATGCGCAGCGAACTATCGTGGCCGGCACTGCTACAGACCACCGCACTTCCTTTCCATCAAGCGCAATACCGCGTATGCACACCGGAACAGTGGAATATGCACTTTGATCGTTTTTTTCCCACTTCTACTGTCAAAAAAGGTGCTAAAGCTAGAGTGGAGGATCGTCAGAATTTCAAGAAATGCACTTACTTCAAGCGTTACATCTCTCTTGTACAGAAAATCGAACCCGCAACCCTGCCCAGGCTCAGACGTGCACTCCGGAAGGAATTCGACACCCTGGCATGGGTGCCATACACTCAGACTGACCGTATGTGGCTGACCTCAGCAGTGCCCGGTAGAGCATGGAAGATGCTTCCTCCCGTGAGACGAGACTCAGAACAAGCGGGCCCAGCGATCGGAATAAATCCACGGTTCCAGAGGAAACTAGTCACCCTGCGCACATTTCCTCAGCCTGACGAGAGCGATGAGGACGAGGCGGGCTCCGAGGGGGATGATTAGACTGTCCACATCATGGACTTTACATTGATCGATGCGAGCGTTCATTACATACTCACACTTTAGTGCTGACCTTTGGTGCATATTCTTTGCCCTACATCGCGGACTCATACACTCACATTCATTACGTATTACTAATATTCACACTTTAGTACCGACCTTCAGTGTTAAAACGTTAAAACGTTATCTGAATAACCGTTTTTGCTTTGCTTACGGCTGTTTGCAAAAAGGTTGACGGTACAACATTCGCTGAGCAGTATAACGTGACAGTGGAATTAAACGTAATGCCACCGTTATCCAAAACAAGATGTGTGTGACGCGTCCCCGAGGGCCGACATGCGTCGAGACTTACTACCATCTTAGAGACATCCACGAGCGATGACAGAATGACAGCAGCAGGGATTGCGGTTCCTTCAAAAGGATTCAGAGGAGAAAAAGCAAGAAGAGGACAAGAAGTTAGACACCGAAACAAGTGGTGTGAAGGACGAGGAGGAGGAACTAGTGAGTGTTAATCACATCAGCGAAGTCAACGTTAGTTCGACTTATGTTTGCTAGTCGAAAGAGGATGCACAGCTAAAATCTGAGCTGGGGATGTTCATTGACCAGTTAAAGGTGCGTGCCACTGACGATCAAGGTAGAACATGTAATTAAATTAGCAGCAGGAATTAAACACACATCTGTACCGTCCTGCTCTTGAAACGCTCCACACACTCATAAGAACATCTACGTCGTCCATGACTTCCGTTCCAAAACCACTCAAGTTTCTAGGCCCACATTATTCTGGCCTCCAGGAACTATTCGAGACATGGCCCGCATCCGAAAACAAGGTGCGAGGAAAGCCTTTCTGTAGGACACTGGCTTATCACCATGCAGAGTCTATTCGCCCATATTCTGCACATGTGGTACTATATATGCCACTAGTACGTAGGTGACCTTCATGATCAAGCAACGAAGCCTTCGTCATGCAAGACACTACAATGTTGTCAAAGGTCAAAGGTAAGTCGTGCTCGTCATCAGATCTGAGGCTCCAAGTACTTGGTGTCTCTGGCACTTTAGCGAGATTCGGATCGTCTCTTCGTCTCCGTCGAAAAATTACATATATGTCGGCCATTCATGATCGCCAATCATAAGTGGTGCCAGTCATCAGTGCAGTGCATTTTTTTGTTTTGGTTCGAGGAGATATATAAACCACACCAAGCGCGGCAAAAAACGATCCCATGATTCAGGATGGGAATGAGGCGCGGAAAGAACATCGTGTGAGCAGCAGTCGGAGGCTCCCTCTCCCAAGCGTTCATAAATTGTCGGCGAGAGATGGCATCCGCTTTGATCCGAGGAAGGGAGACCTGGACCATCATACCTTCTTTTCCAGTACATTTATCCCGCACTTTTGTCTCTCGGTAGCCTTGGCGTCCTATTTTGGTAGCCGACACGGTTCTGGAGCAAGGTGAAATTGGATTCTCAGAATCGCACCAGAAGATATGACTTACTTGATATAATGTCATCAGGGACAAAGAGAGACTCCGACCCATAAGTTTGCGAGTACGATGAAGTCACGGTGGATGGAAAATGCTGACATAATCAGCTGCTTGTAATTTCTTGGAGTCGCTCAACAGCTGGTACTACGGGCGAGTTGCAACTCACACCAAAAATCGCAGCTGTAGGGATGGTATCAATAGGTTTCCCCTCCATTGCGTGTTGGATGGTCAGAGCATGCGTGCTGCGGTGCCGACGCCCACCAATCCGAGCATTTATCAAGAGCATGGCGGGCCAGAAACGTGCTATAGCCTGAAAAGATAACTCATCCCGCAATGTCAAAAAAAATAAACTTGCGAAAGACAGGTTAACGGATATACAGAGCAACCTAATGCACGAGGAGGTGGAACTAGCTTAACAGCTGCAGAGGTTAAAGCTATCCGAGCTGAAGCGACGGAAGAAGCAAACGAGAAACTATCCTCTGTGAGTTCGGTCGTCTTACTCCAAAACAGACTGAGTAGAATTTGCTGCAGGCGTCTGGGAAGTTTCAAAAGATGAAGAGTAGGTCTGAAGCCAAAGCAAAGCGAGTGTTACGCCGAAGAAAGATGTAGTTCGCATCGAGCATCTCAATCACAAGGTACTTTTTATATCATGAAGGTGGGGAGCAGGGGGCTCAATCACCCATTTGCAGATGAAGAACTCGTTGAAAAACTTTGTGGGATGAGCCTTTCGGTGAACGGTTTCTGCACATCTCGTACATCTTTCCTTCTCACCCATTCCTAGTGTCCACCCTTCCCTCATGCTGAAGGCCGCTGTTCGTGGAAATGTGCTTTCTACGATTTTCACTAACTAGGAAGTGTACGTGCACGGGAAATAATGCTCAATGTCTGGCTCATCACACTATGTAACTACATATTATACTCTGCCATCGACTCACCCGTAGAAATTCTCTCATGCGACAGGCATCTTCTTATCCGGGCACGATCTCGAATGTGACGAATCAGCGGCAGCTGACGAGTCAGGTGCTACCAAAAGGTGTCCTATGCTGATTACCTGACCCCGAGGCACGCACTAAGCGGTACACACGAACTGTTGTGTCGTCAGCGGTAGCACTGTTTTGGAACCCGTCAGCGGGCTAACGATGGGTACGCATTTCTCTAATTTTGTTCTCTCTGTCCATCGTTTCGCAGGTGTCAACGCTGGATCTCTTCCGTCTCGTCGCCGGCGCTAGTCCACTATCCCCATTCCCGGTTGGATCTTGATATCCGTAATTCGATCGCATATGCTGTCGATTTTTTGCACTTATACTGGCTCTTGTCACTGGCTGAAATTGGTGTGAAGGCTAATGATATTCTCGGACTATCTCTGTACCATACAGGGTTCGTCGATTGAACATTTGCGGCCTTCGGTTCACTGTTCTATGATGTTGTGTTAGTGGTCAAACACGAGGTTATGGGCTGTGGAGGAGAGGACATGTCGTGGGTTAACGGGATCCTCAAACAGCGAGCCCGATATGCCTGCCATATTGTATCTACTGACAAAAAGCAGATCGGTGTATCAGTCTGGGTTCTGGAAATGAAGGATGTCGATGAGCTGAAAGTCGGTGTTCGTTAGATTGCGAGAATATTCTCAGTTGTATCAAGTGACACCCAATAGACTACATAGACTAGCAATATAGTCTGAAGTGAGGAATCTCACCGCAAAAAGAAAGGTGCAAGCGAGCCAGGATAAACGATTTTAATTGGGTTAAGTGGCATTACTGATGATGTAATAGGTCGAATGGCTGAAATAAACGCTAACAAATGTAACGTAAGGTAAGGGATGAATGCTTCAAGTTGACCAGCATGGAGTGCACGGGCACGTCGTTTGTACTATCCCCAGATGAGCCGACTCGCGAGATGAATGTTATGGACATTGAACATAGCATGTTGCGATGTCTTGGGTAGTATGAATATTTTATGGGTTTTCGAGGCGGCGTCGCGTGGCTGCCATATGCGGCGCGCCAAGTGAAAAATTTCATGTTCACTGGCATGAACTTGTCACCACGGTACTTCGCTTATTCAATGTTGCTTTCGAAGACTACATGGCTCATGCATATTCAAAACAATGCAAGTTGAGAGGAGCAGAGCAACAAACCAAACCGACGCCTTGGTAAAGGATGCCACTGGCAATGCATATTTGACTTGGCTGCCCCAACTCAACACGCTTAGCGCCTGGCGCTGATCATGCTGTTGTCGCCAATGCTAAACTGGATTGCAATTTTGCCGGATCTGGCGGAGACTGCCATCATGTACGTACCGAATAGTGGCCTCGTGGGATGTGTTTTAAGGAGAGTAATAAAAGAGGCTATCGATGCTCAGACGCTCATAATCCAGCCCACTGCCCAAAATGCCAGCTATCCCACTCCCTCTTGCTTTGATCCAACTCTGGATCGCCGATCCAGCGCTGCCATGGTCCAATCCGGTATGGCAGTCTCTAACACACGTTCTTGGCGACCCTTGGACGTATGACCATGGTGGAGGTGTGACTGCTGCAGTAACCCATGTCGCTGAATGGACAGTGGGCAAGGCTCAGGCAGTCGAAGCCTTCATGAACAATTGTAAGACGGCTGAGGATCCTGCGGAACACTATGCATTGAAATGGAAGGACAATGACCATGAAGGTCGTTCCTCTTGGAACGCCTGGGTTAAAGCATCATGGGCCAAATGGAAGATCAATAAACTGGTCGACCATATCTTGCAAGAAAGCGGTTGCGAGCCACACGATGTCATGGCAAGGATGAACTGCAAGACCGCGGATGATGTGAGTTATGTGCCAATCCGTTTACCACATAATATGATACAGTCATGTATTTAGTTCCCGACGATGGAAGCTGCACAGGTGAAGCAGGCGGTTGCTATCAAATTGGCGGATGCATTGTTCGGTGACGATGCATTCATTGACGGATCCTTCGTTATGCCAACCATCATGACGTTTATCACCATGGTGTTGGTATTGACGTGGAGCAGATATCGGAAGGTTATCAAAAGGCAGGCCAACAGTATCGAGAAGAAGGCTCGAGAAGCTGAAGAGCAATGGCAAGGTAGGCGGTGCAGACTAGTCAGTTATGGCGGGGTGCTAACCGTAATGCAGCCCTCACAGCCGCAAATTCAAAACCTACCTTGGTCAGGATCCGCACCTACCTGAAGAAACTGGAATCATTGGTTACAATTCTCAGTGCATTCAAGGACCAGGAAACGGCCGAGAAACTCAATGCGCGTCGTGAACAAGTCAGTGCCATGCTGGCCGCTGCCAAGAAAGATCCCATAAAGGCAGAATCCATAGGACGTGAGTGGGTCAATATTCGACTGACATGTACGTAGTAACTGAAGGCGTTATTTAGGGTTGCCTAAATCTCTTCGGGAGGCGCTTGACAAACTGGCCACCGAAGAGGAGGTCAAGGAGCTCGAACTTTTGATTGAAACCACACTGGCTGCGATGGTACCCCTTGAAGGTGATGAGGTGGTGATAGACTTCAAGGATAATATTGATGTGAGCGACTGGAAGAGTGGCGTAGAGGAATACGACAAGTGCAGCCAGGATGACCTCTGGGAGCAGCTGGGCTTGTCAGAGAAGAGACTCCCCTTTTTCCAGACACGATCTGATCCTGACGCCGCCATTGACCCTTGGAGCGAAGAAGGTCAGCTATGGCTTGATAATCCGACGAGTCCGGCTCAGATCCTGTCGCCTCGGTGGCACCAGCTAGTCGGCATTTTGCGGTTGATTGACAGGGTATTGGAAGGTGAACCGGTGATGTTGATGGATGGCGTTGGCGTTGGAAAAACCATGCAAGCTGTCGGGTTGATCGCATGCCTGGCGCACTACAGGGAACATTACAGGAAACACGGAAAGTTCCCTGGCAAATTTGGTAAGCAATGCGTTTGGCGCCCAGAACCGCTGCATGCGCTAATGTTTGCGTCAAAGCTCAACGGGCCTACAAGAAGACCGGGGGCAACATCCCAGATTTGCCTGCCGTGATCATGAGTCCTCCCAACTTGCAACATCAATGGATGAGTGAAATACAACGGTATCTAAGGCGAGCGACGTTCGACGTTCTTCCCTACACGGGCAAATATACAGCACGGTCACAGTGGTGGACGATAGCTTGGTCCAAATGCCAGCAACCTCCAATAAGACGCATCATCCTGACTACGACAAATGTAAGTGCCTACTGTGGGTGACTAGCGGAATATAACATGACTGTGTTGTTGGGTAGGCGGCGCACGACGATGCAGCCACCGTTTTCATCGAAGGCGATAGGGACAGCTACGGGCAGCCGATGGCTAGCCCTCGCTTTGAACGGACAAGTCCTAATACCCTATTCGGTCGAGAATACAATGTAACGTTCTTCGACGAAGCTCACTGTGCCCGCAAATACAACAAAGTTCACGTCGCAGCTCGAGGACTTCAAGAAAGGTCTCACTCAATGGTTGCCATGACCGCGACGCCGGTCACCACAAAACCCTCGGTAAGCCAGCCTAATGCCATATTGACATAGTAGCTGACGTCGCCTTTGATGGACGCCAGGACCTTTGGATTATGGGTCAGCTGCTTGGCCTTCAGCGATTCAAGGATACAACACAGCTCAAGGCTATGAACCGAGAATTAGCAGCGGCCCAGCGGAGAGATCGCAAAGCGCAGAGAGAGGCGGGAGTTGAGGGATCGATACTGCGAGCTGTCTTTGTGGGCAATTACAATCCCGAGGCTGCCGAAGAAGAATACCTACCCGCAATGAAACAATGGATGGGTCGGATGCGAGAGTGGTTCTCCCCTTCCATTATCCTTCGTACCCTGGACTCCACTGACAACACAGGTAAAAAGATCCTGGGCCTCCCTCCATATCATGACCATAGCTTGAAAATAAAGCTGCTTGATTGGGAGATGGACAATCTGAGGCGTATTGCACGGGGATATCTGGATGACTGTCCCATTGTGGGGATGAGCAAGGTGAGGTTTATTGCTCCTGGCGCGTCGTGGGGCTGTCATCTGAGCACCGAATTCTTGCTGCGCAGAATTTCTATGTTGAATTTCGACGGTCCGTTCTTCATCCGCATATGAACCCAACTGAGGAACGGTCGTGGACAAAACCGAAATCCCTGGAGGAATGGCATACCAGCCCTGATACCAAAAGTATGAAGTTGGACGTTCTGGCTAAACTTCTTAAGTACCATCTGGAATCTGACGGTCGCCAGCCATTGATGATGGATGAGAGCGGTCGCAACCTGGTTCCTAACCCAGCATTAACGGCTGGCAATACCAACCCAGATGAGCCGGATCGGATTGTAGTATTTTCGGCTTTCGTCACTTCTAATCAGGCCATCGTGGATGTATGTTCCATGCTTCACTTATACAACCTTTTGGCTCAATACCACCTTCCAGATTTTGGACCTTCATGGGATACATGCGCTAGAACTTAATGGCCAGACCCCTATGAGGAAACGCAAGGGCATTTTAGATGAGTTTAGGTCATCTGCACGGCCCAAAGGAGCGCGCATCTTGATTTTATCAGGTGTAGGCATGATAGGGTTAAATTTGGCCTGCGCTAATATAATGATAGTCATGGTGGGCACATTATTATAAGCGCTCGTGTACTAAATGTTGTTGATCATCGTGATAGGATACCCTTTGGTCAGAACAGGACGACCGACAGTTACGTGGGCGGATCTACCGTCATCCTCAGGCTAAAGATGTGCACATTTACCGAGCCATTGCCCTGAAGACAGCAGATGTCTTTCTCAATAACATCTCATTCTCGAAGGGCGCGATGCATGATGAATTTGTCGGTGCTCCTAAGGAATTCCGTAAGTGTCTGCCGTGTCTGCCTAGGGCTTGACTAAAGAGCGTCTCTGTAGGAGGCATTTTTGATGGTGATGATGACGCCATGGGAGATTTAATCTCTGTTGGTCTATCAGATGACTCCGCTGACGATAGCGACCCTATGGACGTCGACCCCGAACCTGTCGGAAGGAATAAAACTAGCAAAAAGAAGGTTCGTACCAAAGCCACCATCAAGACCGCACTCCTTGCTAGACCAGCCACGAAGCGCAAGGGTAAGGGTAAGGGTAAGGGAAGTGAGGAAATGTCCTTGACGGTCGACACAGATGATGAGTTTGAGGGCACCTCGCGCAAACGGCGCAAGGGTGTGCAGCCATCACCGCCTGTCATCATAAGCGAGGAGGCGACTCGTACAACCAGCAAGGCTATAGTACCGCTCCAGTTGGAGGGTGGAACTCAATCACTCTCCCTACCGTCTGCACCCAAGGACAAGTCGGCAGTAATAGAGTTCAGGGGCAATCACGGCGATTCATCACTCTCTGAGTCACCTTCTCGCTCCCCTCAGCCTTCTTCTCCCAGTCTTCCTTCCCCTCCATCTCCAGCTCCATCCCCACGCACGCACCCGCACCATCCATCCACTGGTCGTAGTCCAACTCCCAATGCTCAGTCAGAGCAGCTTGCGGGCGAGGACAACTCGACAGTAATAGGGTTCAGGGGCGATCACGGCGATCCATCACTCTCTAAGTCACCTTCTCGCTCCCCTCAGCGTTCTTCTCCCAGTCTTCCTTCCCCTCCATCTCCATCTCTATCCCCACGCACGCACTCGCACCATCCATCTACTGGTCGTAGTAGTCCAACTCCCGATGCTCAGTCAGAGCAGCTTGCGGGCGAGGACAACTCGACAGTAATAGGGTTCAGGGGCGATCACGGCGATCCATCACTCTCTGAGTCACCTTCTCGCTCCCCTCAGCGTTCTTCTCCCAGTCTTCCTTCCCCTCCATCTCCATCTCCATCTCCATCTCCATCCCCACGCACGCACTCGCACCATCCATCCACTGGTCGTAGTAGTCCAACTCCCGATGCTCAGTCAGAGCAGCTTGCGGGCGAGGACAACTCGACAGTAATAGGGTTCAGGGGCGATCACGGCGATCCATCACTCTCTGAGTCACCTTCTCGCTCCCCTCAGCGTTCTTCTCCCAGTCTTCCTTCCCCTCCATCTCCATCTCTATCCCCACGCACGCACTCGCACCATCCATCCACTGGTCGTAGTCCAACTCTCGATGCTCAGTTAGAGCAGCTTGCGGGCGTCCAGGGTGGCCGCTTGCGCTGCAGTGCCGAGGAGGCATCGACTGCTCCTGACTGTGCGATGGACTGGAATGATAGCGGCAGCCACGAATGGAATGACGGCGGCGACCATGACAGCCACTTGGCTGTGGAGCATGAGGAGCAACGGCCCCCGCACGTTCACCGCACCTCATCGTTTTATGACACCTTCACCAAGAGAAATTCGGGTCTGATGTCCTCTTCCGCAAAGGCGACGGTTAGCAGAGACCTGGGCAAATCTGACACACCTCGACCTCGACCCCGCCCTCGCCCCGTGAAGTTCAACCCTGTCCCATTCGGCTCGGGTCCTGTCCATTCTGCCAGATTCTCCTCCAACGACCGCATACAACGGCAGCGGTCTTACAAATAGGTTAAGTCGTAACGTCTCCCTGAGTCTTTTGTTGCGTCTCTTGTCGATATCATACCTACAAGTACTAGTTCCCTCGGAGGTCCGACAACTCTACATCATACATGGAGCTCCTCTAATTATCTTACATCTTCGAAGCACTTAGATTGACAGTTGTTCCAATGAATTTCATTCACTGACCGGTGTTTGTTATACGAAATTGTCCATAACCCAAACAATTAGACTGGTGACTAGCTTAATATCCATGAGGCAAGTTGTTGATAGATGGACTGGTAAAACTTACTTCAGGCAGTACTTTAAGAGGGATGTTCTGTCAAGATACAACTATCGATGTCACTCTCGTACGTTGTGACGGCAGGTAGAAGTTGGTTAGACTTTAGACGGCGGCACAAGTAGAATACGATCTCGCGCAATGTTAACCCGATACAATCGTAGTTGTGATTCTGAGGGCTAAGTACAATAACACGACCTTATGTACCGTCGAAGCGTACCAAGCCTGAAAATAAAGGAAAAACATATTATACGAAAACTTAACTTACAGGCCCAGGAACGACGAGTTACTGGGCCTAGACCATTCTATCTTCGATCCTCTGAGACCTTCCTTTGGGTAGGCATGCGCGCCACATACTCCCCTCCAGGATGTGTGGCATCCTTCACTTCTTCCTCTTCACAGAGTCCTTGCCAAGGTGGTCCCTGGTGCCCTTGGCCGGCCGGGATTCAGGTTCTCTTTCTTTGTTGATTTTCATATGGGCCTGATTGAGTGGAGCTGTGGAGGTGAGGGGAGACAAGTCAGGCTATGCTGTCATAATTACACCTCAGGCATTACTTCTCGGTAGTATTAAAGGTCAGTAAGATGTTGGATGAAACCCTATCTCGTAGACCTAGCCTCAGTGATGTTCTATTTATAGTACCACCAAATATACCTTGCTTCCTCTGCAGCGCCTCCTGGGACCCTCGCTGATTCATCGCAGCTCTTCCAGGATACATATTACATTCTCTACGATGGTCACAATCCTCATTGATATGTCCTTGAGCATCTCAATATCCTCCATGGTGCACCTGCTAGGCGATGCTCTCAGTAGTGCTGCCGTGGTTCGGTTCAGTGAGGGGTGAGCAAGAACCACAAACTGAACCTGCGTCCGGTCCAGGGCATATTGTTGAACACAGAACCGGACCAACAAGAACAGTTCAGAATGGTCGCGTCCGGTTCTCTCAAGGTTCGAACGTGAACCGGACCAAAACATAGATCATATTTGTGAAAATAAGATGTACAGTGAAATTCTATACATCTGGAAGGAGCTCTGACAGTTTAGCCAATGCAGCTGACTCTGCTGAAACATGACCATACTTGTATGCTGCCTTCAGGAGTTGTAGCGCAGAAAAGGTGGATGGCGCCAGTGAATTACGACGGATGGTAGATGTGATGCCCCCGCTAGAGAATGCTTGCTCAGATGGAACTGCCCTCCCCGGAATGGCAAGATAATCGTGCACAATCTGAGCAAGTGTCGGATACTGCAATGAAAGAACCTAAGTGGCTCTCGCTGCAAGTTCAAAGGGGTGTGGAGACCGCTAGTGCGATGCTGAAATGCTGTAGAACTAGTTAGTGTTAATGAATGTTATGCGATAATGATCGAGACGAGTGTGAGACGATAAACAATGGATATAGCGATGCGATTTAGATAACGAGTGCGAGACTGAGACTGGGAGACTGGTATGATTGCCTGTGGTAGTGAGTGTACATGGGCTACTTTTATACTTCGAAATACTAAGGGTTGGGTATAGCTATGCTGAATCGATTATGTGACAACGAGCGCTGAAGGGAGTGGTGTCGCTCCTGACAGGGTAGAGTAGACAGAAAGGAAAGAGAGTACAAAAGGACTGAGCGAGTACAAATATAAACGTGTATGGTATTAACGAAATGACGAGAGTTGCATAGTGGTTTTGACAGATTTGGAAGCGGTGAACTGAGTGAGGTGAGAGTGACAAGAATGGAGAGCTGAGGGTCGATAATCATGAGGCGCTGATGGAGAGTTGAGGTCCGTGCTGACCGAGGCTGGCAATGCACTGATGGTGGTTAAGGTAAGCATTGAAACGGCTATTTCCGGCATCAAACGATTGGTAATCCTTACACATTGTAGAATGGAAATATCACCGACTCACATGAGGTTCGGAACCGTTCAGAACCATTCAGAACTGATGGAGAACCATCCCAGGCAACACAGACCGAGAACCATACTTTGGTTCGGTCAGGTTCAATGGTGTCGCAGTGGACCGGACTTTCTAGAACCAGACCATTGGTCAGGTTTGAACCATGGTTCTGGACCGGACCATGGCAGCACTAGCTCTCAGTGCCTGGCAGTACTTCGTTCACACAAGTGTTTTTTTTTTTAGTTCTGCCTAGTACTCAGTCCTACCACATGCCTCCTGCCTGCAATACGCATGGTGCTCAGCCAACATCTTCAGGGCTCAGTCTCCAATTTATGAGCCCTGAGAAATCTCGAGACCCTAAGAAAGCTCAGACTTTTGTTTGCATTCCCGGCATTGATGTCAAGCATAAGTGTCTCCTTGATCAAATGACTGCACTCATGAGTCCACCAGTACTAGCTACTGAAACCCCCAATCCTAGCTCTACACCTCCTCAATCTGAAGTTCTGATGAACATTGACAACACTAGTTACATTGACAACACCATGGATTATGTCCATGACACTGACTTGGATGACCATGTGATATTTGTAGACCAGTCTGACCCAGGAGCACCTTGCCCTACAGACATGGTGTGCGAGGACCCTGGGCACCGTCTCTTACCAAACAAGGCGTCCAAAAACCTCCATAGTGCTTGGAAGGTGCTTATACCTACCTTGGTGGATGCCCATTTAAAGTACTCTGCACGAACACATGGACAACCCCTTCCAGAATTATGTGCAGTGATATCTGCCTGTGCAAGAAGCAGTTGTGTAGTACAGCAAAGATCCTCGATAATTTGCCTCTTTTTTATTGTAAGTCATCCATTTGTTCCAGCAGCTCTAACTAATAATTGCAGGTTTCCTTGCTGTTGATGTGTTAACCTGCAAATGCTCAACACTTATGCAAGTCCTCGTACATCATGGCCTTTTTCCTACTGCACCTTCTCAACCATGCATGGCTAGGGATCTGCAGGGGTATGGGTAACCCCTGTGGGTCAGGGGTAGTGGTACACAGGGGTATGGGTAGGGGTTGATCACCAGGGTACCCCTTACCCGTGGGCTTCCCGTGACCATATATAGTAGTCAATCCTCGGCCTCGGCAACTTACAGGAACTGTATAGCCAACTTAACTCAATCTTGATATTTGAAAATCAAAGTTAAAATTAAAATTAGATTTCGAAGCTTCTATATCATGTTAGGTAAATGGTAAAGAAGATTACAGAGAAGGCTGCTCAAGCGGTTGCGGAGAGCACTACCAAGCTCAAGCACAAGGCCAGCGGCAGGACTATAACAAATCCATTCCAAAAAAAACCCAAGAACCCGGTCAACTTGGACTCCCCAACCCCTACTTCTACCCCTGCAGCTTCTGTCATTGACACCGAAGTTCCTGACACCAAATGTCCATCGGCCACACACGGCTCTCTGAGTCCTACATCCAGCCTAAGGGCTTCCGTCATCGAGGTCAGTGATTCCGAGGACCTTGATGAAGGTGAGTCATTGGACAGCGAGCTCGGTGCGTAATTTCTCGAAATAAATAAAAAATATCTGCTCAATCAATTGTCAGCTCGTCTCAAATGAGATTGGACCTCACCCATTTATGCGTTCTTCCACCTGGAGCCTGACATTGAATATGTTCATGGCCGTTGATGCCATGTGTTCAAGTGCACTGCAAAGGGCTGCAAGCAGCGCATTTGTCGATTTCTAGACACCGGGGATGCAAAGTCAACAGACAACTTACGCAAACATGTTAAAAATTGTTGGGGGAACATGCACTAGAAGCTGCTGGAGAAACAAAGAATGCTGACGACGCTCGCACGATTGTCATACAAAGCATTCTCAAGACTGGGACTATTAAATCATCGTTTGAGCAAAAAGGAAAAGGCAAAGTGACATACTCTCACCTGCAGCACACAAAGGCAGAAACCAGACTCGAAATAGTTCGATGGGTGTCAGAAAGTCTCCAGCCATTCGAGATCATCAAGGACAGCGGGTTTCAACGTCTTATGAAAACTGGACGTCCAGAGTATTACCTGCCATCACCATCCACAGTCTCATGAGATGTCAGACTTGTGTTTGCATGGACTTGTGAATGAATTGCTCAAATGCTGCAGGTACAATATTTCATTAGCAAGGGGAGTACGTATCTGATGTTGTATGTAGGATCATGACGGCGAATTGAATTTTGCGACCGATGCGTGGACGTTGCCCAATCACCGCACATTTGTTGCTCTAACAGTGCACTTCAAACACAAGGGCAAAGCAATTGCCATGCTGCTCGACATTGTTGAAGTTGACCGAGTGAGTACAAATGTGCACACAAAAGATACGAGACTTACCTGCACAAAAAGTCTCACACTGGTGTCAACCTTGCTGAGGCCTTTGAGAAAATCCTAAACGACTTCGGTATATCAGATAAGGCATGTACGGAACATACGTGCCAACAAAGACTCACAGATAGTGTATAGATTCTGAGCATGACATCAGACAATGCCACAAACAACAACACTATGATAAATGAGTTAGTGGATTGTATTGTGCACTTTGGAGGTGAAAACTCACAAACTCAATGTTTTCTCCTCATTGTTAACCTTGTTGCTAAATCACTAATATGGGAGTTTGATATGACGAAGAAGCAGGCAAATGGGGCGCTTCTTGGTGAGAAGTTTGCCATCTGGAAACATCTCCACTGTCATGCCATATTTACGAGCATACAGTGAGATAGTCTGCTCGTGAGCAACAAATTCATCAGGTGCTTCTATGCGCCATTTCCATTTGGGCTTCTCGGCAAGAAGAACTTTGTTGTTCTCCTTAAGAGCACGATTTTCTTTGCGCAGATGCTGGACTTCAAGCTGCAATACTTCGAGTGCCTAGATTATATCGAGTTGGATGTCACGGTATTAGTTAAGACAATAATTAGTTGTTACATACCTCCATGAATTCTCCCTTGGAGGCATTGGGCCCTGGAATAGAGGCTGGTTCGATATCACCCTCATTAAAGTCATTGACCAAGTCACTGTCCGACACCTGTGCTGAGAGATGAGACATTGTTCTCCTATATGTTCAGTGGCGAGGAAAGAGAAAATGGTGCAACACACCTTATATACGATTTGACACACTGCCTACCTCTGAACCAAGCCCACTAATAGGTGCAACTCCAAATCTTATTATGCCTTCAGGAGTGACAATGGTGGTCCGGCATTGTAGGTAATAGTGGCAAACTGCTGTGGGGCACGTAAACGAGGGCGCGACTGAAGGCCACATGTTGATAGATAGTGCCAGGCATGACTTAATACTTAGACTAGTCATTGCCTCCCTCGCAAGATATAAACTTTAAAATAGTGAACATTACATGCACATCAGAAGGGTTCATTACGAACCGGTTGATGGTCTGATCGCTGATTCAGACCCATGTGTAGTAATCAAGAATCCCCCAGGATGATAGACTCTTCAGCTCATAGAAGGTCAGGTTGACGATGCGGTTGCTGCAAGTCAAGAATTGAATCATTGCGCCCCATGTATCATGTCATCCTGGACTTACCACCAATCTACTGCTAGAGGCAGGATTTCCCTAGTGTATTTTCAGCATTGGGAGGACACGTCTGGTGACTGATTCAGAGAAAGGGTCTGGAAGTGCAGTGATCCTCAAGAAGGGCGAATTTTGATCATTGAGGGTCTGTACAACTAGTCAATTAAACACTGATGAAAAGATGACTGTGTTACTTACTAGGCACTGGTTCGCCATGATCGAATTGTTGATGCCGAATCGCTAATTCAGACCCATGTGTAATTAAGGATCCCCCAGGACGATAATGCAGTTGCTGTAGGTCAAGAATCAAATCATTGCGCTCCATGCGTCATGACATCCTGGACTTACCACCAGTCCATTACTAGAGGCAGGGTGTCCATAGTATATTTTTGGTGTTGGGAGGACACGTCCAGTGACTGCGAAAGGGTCTGGAAATATCGGTGTTGGGAGGACATGTCCGGTGACTGTGAAAGGGTCTGGAAATATAGTGAAAGTAATCAATTAAACACATGCAAAGATGGATGTGTTACTTACCAGGCGCTAGTTAGCCACTATCAAATTGTTGATGCCAGTGCTGATGAGCGCTAGGAGATTTTGGGGGTTCTAAGAAGAGAACTTGACCGTTGATGATGAGAATTTGGGAGGAGGTGTTCCGGTAATATATAAAGTCTTGAAGGTGTTCATGGGATGACACAGAGGGAAGTCAGTAGCGAGGAGAATAAGGTACATCTTGAGTCCTTGGAGAATGCTTGTGTCTGGAGGCAGTGAGGGTATTGTACTTGGCTGGGATGCATGAAAGGCAGCCAGCAGTGAAGAAAGAATGGTGGTGGTGAGGTGTGGTATCAAATGCGTACAAGATGCCCTGCCGCAAGATGCAGTGTGTTCACACGAAGGAACATGTCGGTGTTGACAGTGTCAACAACAAGGTAGTTATAGCTACCATCCGGTACCAGGAAAGCTCCACGGATGATTGACCTTACTGAGAAAAACTCAGCCTGTGCCCAGAGTCTTGCTGGAACACGAAAGATGTTGAGATGCTTGTCCTTTTGAATGTGCACACCAGTGGGAGCATCAAATGGGTGAATAAGAGCGAGGGAGAGAACTGTATCCCCCACTGTACATTCAAAAACAAAGAGCAGGCGACCGAATATAATCTTGTTGGTCGTCTGGATGAACACACAATCAAAACATGGAGCACCAAAGAACTTGGGATTGCATCGAAGGTAGTCGGTGTGTTGGCGCCAATCTACCAATGACTCGTAGTTGACTTTCAAGAAATGACACTCGGTTATCTGTCCTTCTGTGTCAGTATAGCAGAACAGAGCCGAACTGAACAACAATCAAACCTTATTGTTTGGTTTGAGTCGAACCCACTTTCCACCTGGTAGAGGGACTTGAATGGATAGTAAAAAGTTAGTCAAAAACTCATTGAGCTTGACTCGAATGTTAGAAAATGTGCTGTCAGTTTTGTGAGTGTTCTCAACAGACTCAAAGGTTTGCAGAGCTTGTCTGGATCCAAGCTTTACATGAGGCGAGTCATTTGAAACAACCAAATCGTCCACCACAGAGTTGTCTTCATCCAGTACATTGTCAACATCTTGCAACTGATACTCATCAAAGTCAAAGATGTTCCAGCGAATGCTCTCAGCAACCACCTGCCAATGATTGATGCAAAGAATAAGAATCTGTAAATATTGTAGCATGAGTGTAAGATCAATGAATCAATGATATTTAGAATAAGATGTGTTACCTGTGGTGCGACATCCCTGAAGTTCGTCCGCATTAAATACGAGTCTTTTCACCGACCTGTGCATCCCCTCGTTTGGCTTCGTGTTGAAGTTACGTGTTGCTCCTTTAGTTTTGATGTCGTCGAAGATATGCACGCTCATGTGCAATTTGGGGAAGTTCCAGTTCTTGTTGCTCTCGTCGGCTGTCTTAGTTATATATTGCTTTATATTAACAAGTTTCATTGATGAGTGAATTTGAAGGAAAAGTCAACAAAACACACCTGTAGATAGGTCGAGAATGCTTGTACTGCATGCCGACCTGCACGGATAGTATCTGTTGTGTGAACCTCGAGTGCTGCATACATATCGATTTCAATAAAGAGGCGGATGCAGCGCAGTAAGAGATAGCCAAGCAGACACTCATCCTCAGTCACAATGGCATGTGCAGCGTAGATTACCATCTAAGAGAATAATCATCAGACTCAACTCACTAATAAGAATCTACAAATCTAGAAAACATACCTTGGAAATGTCTTCGTACACACTACTATTGGTAAACGAAATGCTCATGACTTGCGCTAGATGCTTCAGATTTCGCCAATGGGGAAATCCCTCGTAACTGACATTAAAATGAAAAAGAGTCAATTGAATTGCGAACCATAGACTTACTTTTTGTCCATCTGAGCTACACTTGCTCTCCCAAGACCGGAGATTATCTGTTGCAGTTTGGCCCACAGATGGTCATGGTACAGGCCACCATTGAAATGAAGCCTATCCCATGACAGTGCACTATATACATAAGTGAGTGCGATAATCCAAAAAGCATTCTGATAACATGGTTATGTCAGTAACAGAATGTCAGTAGCGAAAATCTTACCTGGACATCGCGAAGTCCATATTGTTTGAGTAAGTTGTCTCTCTCTTCAGCGGTCCCCTTGTCCTGCGCAGCCTGCAAGATGTCCTGTGACTGAGTGGACGTTCGACAAGCATATGTCTTCAAAGTATCTAAAAGGTTGTCATGGGGAATGAGACAGACTGGGCATGGCCACAGGGATTTGATCCCTCGAGTCAGTGCCATAACACATCTAACAATACATGGACAAGTAACTTGTTAGTAATACACACAAATCATAATTTGAGCCAAATACACTCACTGTTCTTCGTAATTGGCCGATAAAATTAATATACAAGGAAAAAACCAGTGTTGAATGCTGTCGATGCATTCGAACCAATGACCTGTGCTAGATTTTGATGCTAATGGAGAGAGAATCTTCACAAACACCTCATGCCAAACAGCATTCTTGAAATTGACCCAGCTTGGCTTGCCAGCATGGTCCTTCTCTTCCTTCACCTATAACTACAGTCAGCACTAACCGCTAACTAATAACACATTCCACACAATCGGGAGCCATCCAACAACATAGCCGCCACCTATGCCTTGACTATTGCGAATGTCAGTGGGCAGATTTGCAAGACGTGCAATGACGGGGTAACCTTTCACAGTACCAAATGAAGACAACTTGGTCTTGTCAGCGTACAGAATAAAAGCCTAGGGGCTTGGTGCCCTCTGGTAGCCGAGACAATTATGGAGTAAATAATGAATTATGAAGACAATAAAAGTTGCTACAGAAGTATTACATACTTGAATGTTCCAAAAAGCTTCCGCAGTGTAAGGCTCATCTACAAAATTTACAAATGTCTTGCCATCAAACTTCGACAGGTGCTGCGCATCAAATACCATGTGTGGAAAGAGTCGAGGATCACAAAGGAGATCACTAGCCCACTCCCAGAGATTCTGATAGTGAAGATCAAACACTCGTACGGTACCATCATATGGTACCAAAATTACGTCTTTAGTAAACTGAACTTGAAAATTGTCAGTAACTAAACATCAGGAAGAAATAAATATAACAACCCCTGTAATCCAATGTGAAGCAGTGTCCCCACCTGTCGCGAATGTCCTTGTGGTTCTGAAATGTGAACTTCTCCTGTTGAGAAATGCACCGGTTGCAAAGTCTTATGAGCCGATCGGTCTGCTCGTTATTCAAACAAGCCTCCAAGGCAAGTTCAGCAAGTTCAAACTCCAGTCGTGACTTGAACGGAGCCCATGGGCGCTTGTTAGGTGGTACAGAGGACACCAATGGCATTGGATGGTGTTTGAAATCGTTAAAAGCATGGACCTCAGGTGGGATCTCACTGCTTGGATGATACTCACGCATAATGTCGTCAACCTGGTACACAGGTTCAGCACGTTCAGGGATGTCATTGTCATTGTCGTCAGTAAATGAATCTGTTTATATTTAAATTGTGAATGTAATTATATTATAACACTGGTAAGTTTTAATTAATATCTTACCAATGTGTCCTATTATGTTGTCTGTCTCATTCCAAGTTGGTGAGTTGTCGCGCTGTTCTGTTTTGATGTAAGAATGGTAAGAAACATGCCAAGGAATACTTATGTCTCGCTTTATCAGCATGATGTTCATCCATTGACATCATTGTCTCGTTGGATTTGAGGGACCTGTGAGTCAATTTAGATATTAGTAAAATGCAGACTGATAGACTAGGCTACACATAAGTTAAACTTGTGTGTACCTGGTGCCACACTTAAATCATCTCTTCGAATGGATTCTGCAATACATTGGTTTTGACGCTGTTTCTTTCTCCGCCTTCTTCTCACAGGCTTTGTGATGAGTGGTCCACCCACGGCCCATGTTGTCGATAGATATGCAATATATATGTGTAGGAACAATTTAAACAGAAAAACAGGGGAAAATGCTTGAGAACTGCAGTAACAGCTGGTAACAGGGGAATTGAAGAACGTTGTAAGCGTATTGTAATACATTTAAACCCCGCTATCAAGCTTACATGAAGGTTGTAAATGTAATTGTAATGTGATATCAAACCGTTCCTGATTACAATTGTTTTAGGAAATTTGCGACATGGTCTCCGTGATTGTGAGATGGGCGTGAAGGAGTTCTTCTTCTTGGGAGGGTTGGGAGTTGGTAGGGGTGGGTGTGGCTTGGGGGGGGGGGGGGGGGTTCGGAGGTGAAGGAGAATGGTCTGCCATTATTTCATCGTCGGTGATCACAGTGGGTTGGATGGGTCTCTGGGGTGGGGCTTCCAGGCTTATCTCTTTTTCATGGTTCGCCATCAGGGGGGACGGAGTGCATGGTGGGGGTTACCGTGTTTTCCTCATAGTCCTGTTGGGGAGACGGTTCAAGGGTGGTTCTGGGGGGGGGGGGGGGTGATGGCATCAGGGGGGTGGACACTATTTCTGTCAGAGAGTTGCCCTCGTCAGATAGGACACCAGGGGTGAAGAATTGTGAACCTGTGCGTAGATGTCTAGGAAGAGGTTGGCAGGTTCCCATAGGAGAGGGGCGAGCATTAATGTTGGTAGTTTCATGCTGGTCTGGTCCTTCATCTTCATAGAGGAGGTTGGGGGATTCTTTGGTGAGGGGTGAGGTATATAAGCCATCTGTTGTTGGTAGGGGGTTTATTTGGGGGGGGGGGGGGGGGGGTAGTTGTTATTCTGTCGGTAAAATAGTTATATTGGGGTTTTCAGTGGGTAAGGTTTTGTTTGTACTATGTTGGAGGGCATTTATGGTATGTCCTGGGTTATTAGGATGGCAGTTGTTGGGTTTTTTTTGAGGGGTGTCAATCTGTATGAGGGTACTGTTCTATGCTGCAGTTAGGGTGGTGTGAGATTGTTTGCTTTCGGTTTTCCTAGCTTGTCAGGGGACACATATTCAGGGTGTCTTTACTGTTGGTTTAGTACTTATGCGGTGTGAAAGAGAAATAGCGACTAGGCTGGTTAGAAACTAGCGCTACTTATCCAAATAGGCGCGAGTGTAGTATTCGACCCAAGAGGACTGCTAATGAAGCAACTCCCTACTATTATGCAAGGGGAGCGATAGCGTGAAGGACTAATAACCTATAGCGACCTAAGACCAAAAACTGATGAGTAGCGCTATAGCCATCAGTGACTAGCGACAAGTGAGTTCCAACAGAGAAACATGCGTATAAGTGAGAGGTGCTATGCAAATTGTTTTATGTGATAGTGCTATGTGACGTCCGACTAGCGACAGCGAGAAGAAATCAAAGGGAGCGAAAGCGAGGAGTAAGGTAAGACAGTGCAAGTGAAATGCCCGATAGCGACTAGATTATAGCTCGACTACCAATAGCAATCCCGACATTGCAAAAGTCAAACTTAAGAGGGAACTTTAGCGACACGCACTTAAAGCAAGTCAAGCGACATGCGATCAAAGAGATTGGCAAGAGCGGAATCGATTGCACCAAGACTAGGATATGGCGACTAAAGTGACTCCGACACCAGCAAAGGCCCAGGGAAGGGAAGTACTGTACTGTATGTGCGACAGGACATTTTATCATACTGCGTAAAGGTTTGGGAATGCGTAGGCGAGAATGATAGCGACACTGGCGAGGGCATGATGTAGCGACAGGTAATAAAACATGCAGCACTGCGGAACACGGGGACACATGTAATAAGACCTGCGACTGATGAGTAGCGACATTTAAGGAAAAATAATGCACCAGCAGAGGTAGATGGACATAGGCAGGACATGGGAGGACGGAATACCTAGGCGTTGGACTGGGTAGCGCGCTGTGGGTAACACAACAAAGGTGACTGCAAGTCAGATGACAAGCAAACACTCTCTATGTTGGGTCTTGATATGCCGTGCGATATGTTCGACCCTTAAGGGAAGCAAAGAAAGCAAGAATCCACGAAGTGATGCTGATCAACCCTGATCAAAGGCGACAAAAGGGCGATGTAAGCGCGAGAAACGCGCTGAAGGCGCGCGGGGGAAAGTGAAATGCGAAAATGTGCGAAGCACGGGAAGGCGAAAAGGCGAAGAAATGCGCGGAGAACAGGGATGGTAGTGCGAGCAGTGGACAAGTGTAGAGAGACAATAATATGGTGTAATGTGCGGATATAGATAGATACTGATACTGCCACTAGCTTTAGACTGATGCTAGGGCCTTAAGACGACGACGGACGCATGCATTGCATGGAACTAACTGCCAAATACATGGTGGTAGAAAGATGTGGTAGGAAGCTGTGATGGTTCCAAGCTAAGGTGTAAAACCAACATGAAAGTATGTAAGTTCTACCTAAGCGCTCTCCCAGGGCTCGGAGCCGAATAGGGAGCGCTCTTAGTATGTAAGTGAGGTAAAATGATGTAAAGTAAGGGTGCATAATGAAATACAAAGTGTAATAGGCTAAATATGGTCTGATAATGAAAAGGGACACACCTAGGAACTGGTTGGACGATGGATGGATGCTCCTGGATGATGTGCGATGGAGTGCGCTTAAGCGCGAGAAACGCACTAAGCACGCGCGCGGGAACGCAAAACGCGAAAGCATGAGAAAGTGTTGCGCCTATGGCGCATTTAGCAGGAGAGCTGTGCATTGTATGCGCAATGACTGGAGACATAGCAGAAGTTGCGTATGGAGTAGGGCGACAAGTGCGAGAGAAACGCGCTAAGCGCGCGCAGGAATGCTGCGCGTTGTGTGGGAAAGTAGTGCGCCTATGGCGCATTTCGCGGGAAAGCTGTGCATTGTATGTGGAATGACCAGAAACATGATAGAAGTCGCATACGGATGATGGTGCGAGTCGTGCAGTAAAGGCCAGTTGCCAGAATTCGTAAAATGAGCCCATATGAGCCCACAGAAACGCGAGTCTCTACAGCGCTATGGGAGAAAAGTGGTACCAAAGCGGATAGCTTGGGAGCTGAATAGCACTGATGACTAGCACCTTACTCTTTTTCCTCTAGGCAAGGCAAAATATGCCTATGACACTCATACGTGCCTAGCGCTGGTATGATTGTCACATCTGCGGGAGACTTGAATACTGACTGTCCCCAGTCGGTCTCATGTCGCAACTTGGACTTTAGCAAAAATTTCATCCATTGATAAGGGCACGTGATTGATGGCGACCCGATATGGAAGTGATGATCAGGGTGCGCAAATTTGATAGAAGCGGTGGACACAATCGATGAGCCGGAACAGTGGGTGGAAGTGTAAACACATGGTGGTCGCGATCGGTAGACTAGAACAATGCAAGGAATAATGGGCATGCGGTGGTTGCGAAGAGTGGGTCGGGGTCAATGGAAGTGTGGGCTGGATTGCAATTCCCTATAAAAACCCTCCGACCTTTCCTTCATCCGCTCCTTCATCTCATACTGTCAATCATGTCTTCTTTCACCTTCTCTGAAGTAGTCAACCCCAATGTCAACAAACTCCAGCGGGCCTTCGCTGATCTGCATCATAAGTTGGTGCACCTGGTCGACGCTATTCCTGAAGACTGCCCTGAGTTAATCCAGTGAAAGGAAGAGTGGGTGCGCAACTGGTCCAAGCTCGTGGTAAGTCTTTAGTTCCAACTTATCTCTATTTTCTCTGACACTTCCTTATAGCAGGAACTTAGCGACAACGCACTAAATTGCAAGACATACAACATGAACCTCCCGCTCTTGTCGGATGAGGTTGCCCTGGGTTGCAAGGCGGAGGAAGCCCACAAGCGAGCAGGCGGCGCTTGAGCGGGAGAAGAGTAAGGAGCGGGAGTTGGAGTTAGAGAAGGGGAAGGAGAAGGAGAACTTGGGTGAAACTGATGAGGCCATGGATGATGCGGATGGCGACGCTGATGCGGAAGGGGAGTTGGATGAAGAGGAGGTGGATGTTAGTCCTCCGCTGGTCACTAAGCGCGCTGCGACAGTTGGCGCTGTGGCGGGTAGGAGGAAGCCATCAGTAAGTGGATCAGTATCCTTGCCTTCTGGTGTTCTGACTTTGGTTATTAGAAGACTCCTCGCACTGTCGCGCCAGTAGTGCATCCTGTCCCTTGCGCTTGGTGCGTGAAGGTTAAGAAGCCTTGCGTCGGCAAGCCAGGCAATTGCTGCGAACTTTGCAAGGATGCCCGCAAGAAATGCGAGTATTCCACCCACAGGCATGGAGGTAAGTGGTCCCGACCTGGTAATTGTCGCATTATACTAACACTTGGTACAGTCGCAAAGGAGAGGGCTGCCGCTCGCACTGTTGCGGCACAGGTGGTGGTCAAGGCACCTTCCGCTCCCGCTCCAAGTTCCTCTGCGGGGAGGGGTGTCCTTATCTGCCATCCTAGGAAAACTCCTGAAGATGCGACTTCCGCTAATTTGGAAGAGGAGGAAGAGGAGGAGGAGGAGGAAGAAGAGTTGGTAGAAGACTCACGAAAGTGGAAGTCGTCCGACAGTTGGGAGGTGGAATCCGACCTCCTGGCGGATGCTGATGGTGACGAGGAAGACCTCCACCTGGAAGGTAAAGTGCGGGCGCTATATGCCAAAATTTTGACTATGCAAGGGATGCTCATGGAGATGATGACAGAAGTGGATTCTTTGGTGGTATGCTGCAAGAAGAGGAGGAGGATCCAGTAGATAGTGCTCCCATGGATCGCATGTTTGGACATTTGTTGGCACGCTAGATGTACAATGTAGCCTGGAAATAGATAGTGCATGAATTGGAATGTTGGTCGCATGAATATCCTGAGTGATCGCGAGTCCTGGTCCAGGTAATCTTGAGTCCTATGTCCATGTCCAATTCCATGTACTGATCCTAACTCCACTGGGTGCCTAAGAGATAAGTAAGGTAAAATGAGCATGCGGTTGCAATGTGGAAGAAGGTGAATGATACTGGTCGCAGTCGGGTCAATTGGCGGGGTACCACCCAACTTGGCTTCTTCGTTGCACTTCCTTGTCTATTCCTCCTGTCGCTATTTGTGCACGACTTAATCCCTAAACCATGTCAATGTGTGTGGTGCGCTGCCTACACGTTCGAAGATAAATGTACGGTAATCAATCTTTCACGTGAAATAGTCCAATCCTTTGTAATGTCTGTGTTGCGATATAAAGTCTATGTGCAGATGGCGCATAACATATGTGAGTCCTTTGAGAGCGGAAGAATGAAACTGAGGCACTGGACTAAACCCGGGGTGAAACTGAGACTATCGTACTAAGAGTGGTATGTTTTTGTGTTTTTGTTTTTATGAGAGATAGCGGATATCGGGAATGGGTATATTGGCGGTATTTGAGGAATGCTGGCGGGTCATGCATCGAAGTCGAAATCGAGCGCTTCGTCAGGTGGCTCTTCTATGTCTTCACTTGCTAAGGTATTCAGTGCTTCATCATCTAGACCTGTGATGCTAGTAACTGAGACTTTAGTTTCGCTGCGCAGAAGATAAGGGAGTAGGCAGAATAACTGCATAGTGCAGTCGGGACACAGAACCATCTAATTCGGCAAGGATGTACAACCCGCCCTTAGTGCGGCGGATGACTATCATAGGTCCTAGATAGCGCGGCTTCGTCTTGCAACTTAGCTCGTACTCAACTTAGAGTTGCGGACTAGAATGAGTGCGCCAGGGCGCGAAATTGTAGTCTATAATTGAGTGACGATAGCACTGCTCAAAGTTGTGGATAGACTGATAGCATGCCTTGAGTACTTTCTCCTTGATATCGTTGAGGTCTTCTTGTCACTTCTGCAGTTGTCAGGCTCTCCATGCGACAAGATCCGTCATTGAGAAGGTGTCTTGGTCGGGTAGCGCTACTAGAAATGTTCCTTCAGCAAGATCAAACGGAAAGATAGGCTCGACGCCATGAACCATGAAATAAGGCGTAAGTCCTGTCACTTGATGAACAGTGACACATTCCGCCCAAAGTACCAAGTGCGCAGACTGATACCAGTGTGCCTCATCCCCATTGCAACTTTTCATGATGGCCTCCCGGACATCATAGTGACGTCGCTCAACAATACCATTAGCTTGAGAGTTGTATGCTGAGATGCGGATCAGGTGAATTCCATAGCGTGCTGCTAGTTCATCAGCTGCTGCACAGAATGCAGGTCCATTGTCGGTAACGATTTCGGTAATAGGTCCCCATCTGCAAAGAAGTTCCTCGAATAAGAATGCGACAAGGGTCTTGGTATTCTCCTTGCATAACATGCGCCATTCTGGATATCCAGTTAGCGCGCAACGTGCATGGACTAGTCGGTCGAATCCGCCTGCTTTAGGCATCATCATACAATCAATATGCACTCTCCTGAAAACACTGCCCAGGATTGGGACGGTCGGAGGAATGTGCAACTTGTGAATTTGCCTGACTTGGCATTCGTGACATGTCCTATTGTACCATTTGATGTCATCAATAATTATAGGCCACCAGAAGCATAAGAGAAGTTGGGCGTGAATTGAATATACTCCCCTTATGTCCAAGGTCATCGTGCGCTTCCTTCAAGATGCGAAAACGTCACAATTCGGGAACTACTAGCTGGTGCTTTCCTTGAGAGTTGCGCCTCCACAATTTCTCATCAAGGATTGAGTACTGCACAATGGATGAGACAAATGACTCGTAGTCGTCATCCGATAGGTCTGCGGGTCACTTGTGGGTCTCTAAAAAGTGTTGGATCTTGATTAATCTAGTGTCTAGCGCTTGCGTGTTCTCTGAGCGGGGTATGGTCGGTGTGGGAAACACAACAAGAAGAGAACTCTGTAAAGTACTCTTCAAATGTTGGGTCAAAATTGCTATGCCTAGCTGCTATTCGACCCTAAAGGATTTCTGTACTAGACTCAGAGCTCAGAGAGTAGAAATATCATTAAGCAAAAGACTGTGATTCAGACTGGTACTGACACTGGTGAAAGGGAGATATGATTATGTAAGCAGTAAAAATGCGAACATAAACTAAGGAAAGTGGGGTAAGTGAAGGTAAGTAAAAAGGGGAGAATATCAGCCCAGGGAAAACTATATTGTCACATCAGGCTTGCGGAATCGGGTTCTATGGTGTCTAGGTATGCAATGAGGGCGGGTAAATGGGTCAGCAGGTAAGGTACGGGTGCGGCATATGGGTATCGCATGATATCGTCTCCTGCGCCTGCAATAGCGCAACTTCGATCATTCAGAATCTCAATGCCAAACAAATATGAGCAGTCAAGCCAATCTTCATGGTCATCATCCTCGTCAGGATCTTCCTCAGCAGGTGGTCTCCTTGAGAGTCTGTCTGCTCCAGTATGCTTGGTAGCGGGTACATGAACAAGCGCGAAAGAAAATAACAATATACCTGCGATCCACCGATTGATGGTCGTGTTAGGTTGAAGGTCAGGGTTATTGATCATTCCTTTGATATACTTTGCATCAACTTCAACCATAAGGTTGGCAACACCGAAAATAAAGACGCGAACCATGCGAAGCACATGAAATAGGCTGTAGAGCTCTAGTTTTGCTTGAGAGTAGCAACTTTCAACTTCCGTGAGGGATATGGATCCGAAGCGGTTTGGATAGCGCTTGCCATCTTCTCCGACTTGAAGGAGGATGAAACCTACAGCAATGCAAGAGGTGTCAACAGCAAGGATAACTTTGCGACCGCACTGGTAATCGAGCGGAAGGAGTGCAGGAGACTCTAATATTGAGTCCTTCAGAGTCTGCATAGCTACCTGTTGGTCTTCACCCCATTCAAAGGGTACGTCTTTGCAGGTAAAATTGGTAAGGGGTCGTGCAATCTTGGAGAAGTTCCGAATAAAGATGCGCAAGACTCTGCAGGTACCTAGAAAGCCCCGCACTTGCGTGATGGTACGACATTCAGGCCAATCGCGGATCTTTTGCACTTTGGAATCTTCCGGCACTCACCCTTCAAAGGTACACTTGTGTCAAACTATGACAGTGGTAGGAACGGCTAGAAGAAACTTAGTAGCAGATACTGTTACACTGACATTCTCGAGTTGCTGGAGTATGTGGTTGATGACCTCGCAATGCTCCCATGTGAAGCGATGTATGCCCAGTGTGGTGTTCAAACTTTCTGTAGCCTTGCAGAGGCACTTTTCACTATGCATCTCTTATTGACACTTTCCTTAGATTAGGTTCGCACTTTTGCTGCTTACATAATCATCTTCCCTTTACCTAGGACTCTACAGTCATTACCTAGTTTCCCTTGTTTCCAGTTCTTTGGTTGCTCCCCATTCACTTGGGTTATTTAGTAGCATCCCCTAGTTGTAGCTTCCTAGTTGTAGCTCCCTCAGCTCACCAGATAGCTCCTGGAACATAGTTTCTTACCTTGACTTGGAGTACCTTCTCCACTCTCCTTTCTTGAGCCTGAGCCTAGTCAGAGATCCTTTAGGGTTGAACGTTCTTGCTAGCAAGAGTAGCAGCTAGGAGAGCAGGAGACTCATATATATTGGTTTGGTGCTTTTACCTACAGCCCAGCCATATCTTGTCATCACACCGGGTTTAGCGCTATGGTTTCGTATGAGCCGTCAGCTCTCTGATACCGCGTTTTAACCGACTTGATGGGCACATCATCAATAAATGGCGATGTGAACTCTGGGATTTCGTCCTGCAGAATGAAAGCAGTATCACCTTGGTATACTTGTACCACATTAGCATGACCTTGTGGAAGTGTTGTCAACTGATGCGGACCCAATGGCATCCCAAAGGAAGTGAGGTTGCGTGATTCCTCATGTAGCGCACGCTGGTCGTAACCTGAATATAAGTCCATCATACCATATACCACGTACCTGGCAAAGGATTCAGCTAACTGTTTGACAAAAGGAGGGAGGGATGAGTCTTGGATAGTTCCCACATTCAGCAGTTGAAGATCGTGAACTAGGTGCAATGATTTTCCGTCTTTCTTGACTACGCAGAACCAGCGTGATCGGTATGCAGTGGTAGACGGTTTGTATACACCCGATTGGATCTTTTCTTTGATGATGCGGATAACTTCTCCAAGGGTTGCAGGCGAGATAGGTATATTATGTTGAGACCAAGGAATGTGAGGGATGGTAGGGATTTTGTATGGCAGTGTGAAAGAGTAATAGCGACTAGGCTGGTTAGAAACTAGCGCTACTTATCCAAATAGGTGCGAGTGTAGTATTCAACCCAAGAGGACTGCTATTGAAGCAACTCCCTTCAAATATGCAAGGGTAGTGATGATGCGAAGGGCTAATAACCTATAGCGACCTAAGACCAAAAAATCAATGAGTAGCGCTGTAGTGATCAGCGACTAGCGACAAGTGAGTTCCGACAGAGAAACGTGCGTATAAGTAAGTAGCACTATGCAAGTTGTCCTATGCGACGTCCGACTAGCGACAGCGAGAAGAAATCAAAAGAAGGGAAAGCGAGGAATAAGGTATGATAGTGCAAGTGGAATGCCCGATAGCGACTAGATTATAGCTCGACTATCGATAGCGATCCTGACGTCGCGAAAATCAAACTTTTCGAGGCAACTTTAGCGACGTGCACTTTAAAGCAAGTCAAGCGACACGCGATTGGAGAGATTGGCAAGAGTGGAATCGATTGGACCAAAACTAAGATATAGTGACTAAAGTGACTCCGACACCAGCAAAGGTCCGGGGAAGGGAAGTACTGTACTGTATGTAGGACGGGTCATTTATCAT